CTCATGCCTTATAGTGATAGACCCAAAGAGTTCAATCTACTTATCTTAACAAAGAAACTGTTTGTAAGTGTCTATATGGGGAATAAATATTTAATAATGCACTCTTTAATCTAGCAGAGAAAGGAGTTGACATTATCCAATGGCTGGAAGTTGAAGCGAGACAAATTCAGTCTGGAAATAAGGCGTACATTCTTGACAGCGAGAGTAATTAACCATTGGAACAATTTGTGAAGGATCATGATGGATTCTCCATCACTGGCAATTTTAAAATCAAGATTGGCTGTTTTTTTTAAAGATCTGTGCTAGGAATTCTTTTGGGGAAGTTCTATGGCCCGGATTACACTGGAGTTCATAGAGTCATAGAATCATAGTGTTAGAGCAGGGACTTGATCCCTAACCACTGCACCATCCTTCCTCTCCCTTTGCCAGTCACCCACCTTCTGATCTCCACTCTCACCTGCTGCTGTAGCTTCAGGCATCTCCCCCGATGAAACTATTGGGCTGAAGAAACTAATATGGAGAAACGTCCGACAGGTACCAAGGGGAGAGACCCACCAAACTCATCTCACCTAAAGCCATACCTTTCTGGCTTGGTGCAGCTCCGTTGAACACACAGAAAGTAAGGGCCTAATCCTCAGCAGCTGTGAATCTGCATGGGTCTGCTAAAGTAAAGGGAGCGACATTGATTTCCAGCTGAGAATCTGGCCCTAAAGGAGCAGGTACCTGGGCCCAGCAATGGGAGAGTCAGTGACTAATGCTTTGTGTGGACGCCTAGCAGGCTGTCAGGGCATGGGATGAAGGTCCAGAATAGGGTGGCAGGAGGGAGCTGGATGGTAGCAGAACAAGCTGTGGGGTGGCAACTCATCTCTGGCAGTCGGAGGGGGTGGAATTGGGGAGCCCCAGAGTGAAAACCCACTGAAGGTGGCTCAGGATTGTTGGTCAAGCTCCTTTGGTGCTGGTTCATCTCAGGTCCAGATCAGTGACAGGGGGATGAGCGGAGAGCCCATGCACACAAGACAAAGCAGCCGTTGTCTCGTTCTCTGAGAGAACAGCGGGGCGCAGCCGTGTCCCAGGACGACACCCCCAGTTCTAATTAAAGCTGGCACACTCTGCTATCTGGTCCATTAGCCAGCGGGCAGGGACGGCACAACACATTGTGATGACGAAGGCCTCCCACCCAGCTGAGCCGTGTGTCCCACACACCAGCTTTTGCTTGCTCATGTGAAAGCTTCTACACTGAGCGGGAAGGGAGGGTGGAAAACACCAAGTCCCAACACGACACGCCAAGATGTTCTGAAGCTCTGCCTCCCACGGCAACCACAGGTTTGCTCCCAGTCACTACAACGAAGCCCAGGAGAGCAGATTTTTAATGCTTCTTTCCTTGTTATTAAAGATGCACTGTGCAACAGGGCTGATTACGTATGAGGCTGGAGCCCGAGGCTGGTATCATAGAATCACAGAATATCAGGGTTGGAAGGGACCTCAGGAGGTCATCTAGTCCAACCCCTTGCTCAAAGCAGGACCAATCCCCAATTAAATCATCCCAGCCAGTGCTTTGTCAAGCCTGACCTTAAAAACTTCTAAGGAAGGAGATTCCACCACCTCCCTAGGTAACGCATTCCAGTGTTTCGCCACCCTCCTAGTGAAAAAGTTTTTCCTAATATCCAACCTAAACCTCCCCCACTGCAACTTGAGACCATTACTCCTTGTCCTGTCATCTTCTACCACTGAGAATAGTCTAGAACCATCCTCTCTGGAACCACCTCTCAGGTAGTTGAAAGCACCTATCAAATCCCCCCTCATTCTTCTCTTCCGCAGACTAAACAATCCCAGTTCCCTCAGCCGCTCCTCATAAGTCATGTGTTCCAGACCCCTAATCACTTTTGTTGCCCTTTGCTGGACTCTCTCCAATTTTTCCACATCCTTCTTGTAGTGTGGGGCCCAAAACTGGACACAGTACTCCAGATGAGGCCTCACCAATGTCGAATAGAGGGGGATGATCACGTCCCTCGATCTGCTGGCTATGCCCCTACTTATACATCCCAAAATGCCATTGGCCTTCTTGGCAACAATGGCACACTTTTGACTCATATCCAGCTTCTCGTCCACTGTCACCCCTAGGTCCTTTTCCGCAAAACTGCTGCCAAGCCATTCGGTCCCTAGTCTGTAGCGGTGCATTGGATTCTTCCGTCCTAAGTGCAGGACCGTGCACTTATCCTTGTTGAACCTTATCAGATTTCTTTTGGCCCAATCCTCCAATTTGTCTAGGTCCCTCTGTATCCTATCCCTACCTGCCACCGTATCTACCACTCCTCCTAGTTTAGTATCATCCGCAAATTTGCTGAGAGTGCAATCCACACCATCCTCCAGATCATTCATGAAGATAATGAACAAAACCGGCCCCAGGACTGACCCTTGGGGCACTCCACTTCATACTGGCTGCCAACTAGACATGGAGCCATTGATCACTACCCGTTGAGCCCAACAATCTAGCCAACTTTCTACCCACCTTATAGTGCATTCATCCAGACCATACTTCTTTAACTTGCTGACAAGAATACTGTGGGAGACCGTGTCAAAAGCTTTGCTAAAGTCAAGAAACAATACATCCACTGCTTTCCCTTCATCCACAGAACCAGTAATCTCATCATAGAAGGCGATTAGATTACTCAGGCATGACCTTCCCTTGGTGAATCCATGCTGATTGTTCCTGATCACTTTCCTCTCATGTAAGTGCTTCAGGATTGATTCCTTGAGGACCTGCTCCATGATTTTTCCGGGGACTGAGGTGAGGCTGACTGGCTTGTAGTTCCCAGGATCCTCCTTCTTCCCTTTTTTAAAGATGGGCACTACATTAGCCTTTTTCCAGTCGTCCAGGACTTCCCCGATCGCCATGAGTTTTCAAAGATAATAGCCAATGGCTCTGCAATCACAGCCGCCAACTCCTTTAGCACTCTCGGATGCAACGCATCCGGCCCCATGGACTTGTGCACGTCCAGCTTTTCTAAATAGTCCCTAACCACTTCTTTCTCCATAGAGGGCTGGTCACCTCCTCCCCATGCTGTGTTGCCCAGCACAGCAGTCTGGGAGCTGACCTTGTTCGTGAAGACAGAGGCAAAAAAAGCATTGAGTACATTAGCTTTTTCCACATCCTCTGTCACTAGGTTGCCTCCCTCATTCAGTAAGGGGCCCACACTTTCCTTGGCTTTCTTCTTGTTGCCAACATACCTGAAGAAACCCTTCTTGTTACTCTTAACATCTCTTGCTAGCTGCACTCCAGGTGCGATTTGGCCCTCCTGATTTCATTCCTACATGCCTGAGCAACATTTTTGTACTCTTCCTTGTTCATTTGTCCAATCTTCCACTTCTTGTAAGCTTCTTTTTTATGTTTAAGATCAGCAAGGATTTCACTGTTAAGCCAAGCTGGTCGCCTGCCATATTTACTATTCTTTCAACACATCGGGATGGTTTGTCCCTGTAACCTCAATAGGGATTCTTTGAAATACAGCCAGCTCTCCTGGGCTCCTACACTGTTGGCTGCTGAGACCCCATCGACCCATTCCACAACCGTTTTCTATCACTGCGATCACTATCAATAGCGTTGTCTTTAAAAACTCTCGTGTTCCCTTGGACTTTGAATAGCCAGGAAGATTCTGGGCCACGGTGCAGCTCCTCCATGGTACCACTTCTGGGTAAAGAGGCCAGAATCCCAGCACATCCCCCACCACTCAGCAAATCCCAGAAGATCCTCCCCAGATGGATCCCAAGCAGATTCCCCACCTCTGGCTGTTGCATTGATGCAGCTCCACCAGTGGGTAGCACTAGTCAGAGAGCTAATGTGGACTGTCCCTGGCTTTTCCTCACCATCACGACCTCTATGATTATCATCTAGGCTTGCTCAGAGCAGGGTGAGCCAGCTGTGCCCTATCACATGAGGGCTTGCACCAGGCAAGGGTGGAGATCGGGAGGGGTTGGTTTCCTGATAACGCTTCCTCAAGGGAGGAAGGACAGGCCAGTGGTCAAGGCCCAGGATTGGGAATCAGGTGACTTGAGCTTAATGCTCAGGTGAGTCCCTTTGTTGACCATGCCTCAGTTCCTGCTGTGTAGCACGTGAGTGTTGAGGAGGGGCCATATCAGGACCTAGACAGCCCTGGAGAGGAGGGCTGGCTTAATCTGAGAGCAGTGGGGCCTAGAGAAGGGCAGAACGGGCAAATAAACTCTTCCAGGCCTGGAGGCTGCTGAGGGGAAGAGGAGTTGCTATCCTGTCACTGCTAGGATTGGAGTAACGGAGGCCAGTGTACAGCAAACAGGGAAAGAGAGAGCAAAGAATATTGTACCTTGCATTCCAGGAGCACCTGCCATTGCTCAGGGCGGTACAAACACAAAGTGGCAGGCAGCCCGGCCTCAAAGAGCTCCCAATCTGAGTAAACAAGACAGGGGAGGGAGCAAGGAGCAGCAGTGTCCCCTGAGACACAGAGAGGCTAAGTGACCCACCCAAGGTCACACAGGGAGTCTGTGGCAGAGTGTAGCGCTGGTCGCCCAAGTCCCAGCCTAGCAGTCTGACTGCAGGACTGTCCATGCTGTCGGACTTGCTTCACTTCCCTGGTGCCACTTTACTCCCTGCCACCCAGAGCTTCTAAAGACCATTTCATCCAGAGCCATTATCTCTCAGGGGCCCCCAGCTGCCTGCGAAAGCGAAGAGGGTCAGTGAGGGGCATCAGCGTGGCACAAGGAGCTGGCACGAAGAGTCACTCCGGTGCAGGGGGATGAGCTGTATGAACCCCTCTGCTCTTGTCTGATGGGGAGGGTACAACCCCACCCCACCCTGACCAATGCAAAGGTCCCTGAACATAACCCCTCTGTACTGCTATTTTCAGCCCTGGAGAGCTTCAGGATGTGCAGGGATGGGGGAGGAAGAGGGCGGGGCCCTGCTGCGATAAGATCACTCAAGGAACTTGTTCCACTACAGGTCTGGGGAAGGCTCTAATCAGAACCAGCGGAGGACGGGAAGTCACCTGCAGAGGGGAAGAGTAGAAAGCTACCTGCGAGCAGTTCTTGCTTTTCTTGGCCGTCCAGGCTGAGGGTCTGCTCAGGATGAAGGTGCTTCTGGCTCTTCTGCTGGCTGGCCTTGTGTGCGTGGAGCTAGGTAAGACTGCAGGGGCTTCACCTGGATTCCCCAGACTGCAGAGATTTATCTGTGACATTCCCAGTGTGCGGCTGCGCTGGACAAAGGTCTGGACAGCCCAGAGAGAGGGTAGGAGTGTTGTTATCTATTTGACAAAATTATCAGGCAAAATGAAAGGAAGGTTTTGGGGAAGGGAAATGGGGGGGGATGTTCCCGGCCAGGCATTTACTGACAGCAGAAGAGGGAGGCTCTCCTTCTGTCCTGCATTGCACTTGGTGCAGGCATCCACACCTGTGTAATGCGATTGCCTCAGAGTGGTCACATCTCACACCCCCTCTACGCTGGTGTAAAGAACTAACAAGGTAACAGGGCAAGGGAGAACGGGAACCGAGGGATCCTCCTCTCTGCTCCAGATCCATGACCCACAGCGGAATAGGGAGGGTGAAAGGACAGGAAGGAGGCCGTGGAACTGCAGGCAGGGATCGGACCTGACACGTGCTCCACCTAGCCCCCCAGTTTGGTCCTTTAGGTGCAGGATGGGTTGCGCTCCACCTTCTATGTGACTGTGGTGGCAGTCTGTAAATCAGCGTTGGCCAGACGATGGGGAGGGATGTCCAGAACTCGGATAGTTAATGCTAACACAAATTTTGGAAAAGGTGGTAACCCATGGGAGTCAGCATTTAAGCCCATCTCTAGCTAGTGGGGTTGGAATGAGACCTTCATGGGGGAGATGATCCTACACATGCCTCCTATAGCGTTTCCTGAACCTTCCCCTGAAGCATCCGGTTCTGGCTACAGTCAGGGACAGACCCTGGCCCCGATGAAGCTTGGGTGTGATCCAGTCTTGTTGTGATCCTTGTGTTCCTGTTATATATCCTTGCAGTGCACATCCCTGGCAGTGCTGAGATTTAACAGCCTGCTGGGGGGTTTCTCTTGACATCTCTGCTGTGACTTTAGGTGTACCCCGGGAGTCTTTCAAGAGTTAACCACTTGGGGGTTTTCCTGATTCGCGCTGTCCTGCCTTTCCTCCCTACTCCTCGATCCTCTCCATCTGCTGGACTTATTTATATACCACGGGCCAGCTACTCTGCTGGGTTAAGTGAACAGAGCTCCATTTACTTCGCCAGACCTGCACCAATTTAACCCCAGCTGAGGGTGTGCCCCATGTTCTTGTTTCAGCCCCCTTCCAGGTAACCTATTCCACATACTTAGTTATTTCCCTCTGGGGTATCATAACATTGCTTAATATTAAAATACCATAGGTGGGGGACATGACACTGACCTATTTTACAGATGGAAAGATTGAGGCACAGAGAGGGGAAAGTGACTTGCCCTAGGTCCTGCAGTGAGACGGGGCATGGCTGGGCACGGAACCGGGATCCCTTGAATCACTCTCGGGTGTGCAGGCCAGAGCATTGCACAGCCCTTTGTATGCCCTTGTTCTGCTTCTCCGTGGACTCTTTCCTCACCATTGGATTGTTCCTTAGTTTTGTAACCTCTCCCCCGTGCTTCTTTGGTCCCTTCCACGGCCCCCTCTCCATGGCAATAATGGCCTTTTGCTCCTCTGGGAAGGGTTGATTTGCCAAGGACTGTGGGGGCCTGATTCTCTTCTCCTTTAAGCTGGTGTAAATCAGAAGTAACTCCACTGAAGTCAATGGAGTTACCCTAGTGGAAAACTGTTGTGAGGTCAGAATCAGGCCCAACCAAAATTCGCTGGCCGGGCCATGATTTATACTTGCTGAAGTTCTGATCCCACATGTTAACAACCATCTTTATGCAAAAAAAAAAAAAAAAAAAAAAAAAATAGCACATCAGTGAGTCTCAGAGCCTGGGCCAACTGACTCAGGCTCACAGGACTCACACCCGGGGCTAAAATGATCAGTGTAGATGTTCCCGCTTGGGTTGGAGCTCAGGCTGCAAAACCCAGGGAAGGGGGTGGGTCTCAGAGCCCGAGATCCAGCCCAAGGGAGAACATCTACACTGCTGGTTTTAGCCCCGTACCACAAGGATATGTCTACACCGCACTTACAAATCTGCCACTGGCCACTTGGGCTCATAGGGCTCAGGCTATGGGGCTGTTTAACTGTGGTGCAGACATTCTGCCTCGGGCTAGAGCCTGGACTCTAGGACCCTGCGAGGTGGGATCTGGCCCACTGAGCCTAATTTACCACAGCCTTCCACCTTATATTGTCATTCCGACCTGTGCAAAGTAGGTGGAGAGCATCTGCAAATCAAAATGGGAGCATTTCATACTCTGCCCTCCCTCTGCACGGTTTGAGGCTGGCATTTTCAAAGGAGCTACATGCTCAACTCCCCTTGAAATTCAGTAGGAACTGGATAGCTAATTGCCTTAGCATCCTTTGAAAATTCCAGCCAAAATGACTACCCTAGGTATGAGGCTATGGAGAATTGTCCATACAGAGCACCTGGATCCAAGTAATATATTCTTAGAAACAAAATTCATTTCTTTCTACATTTTCGCCAGGCGGTGGCAGTAGAAACGTTTCTTGCATTTTTTTAACTACTACTAGACGGATCACGTTTATAAAAAGGACACATAGGAAAGAAGAAATACATCAAAGGTCTTGACTGTGCAAGCAGCTGCTCTTAGCATATTACAAAACAACTGTAACATCATCAGTGGTTTTATACCGCAATAGCATACCCTAAGGAGTGCATTGTCCTCGCTCTGTCCTCAGTAACTCTGGGGTAAATCTGAAATTCACTGGCCCATATTCTGATCTCAGTTACATCAGTGCAACTGACACACACATACACAACTCAGATGGTGGCTGAACCAAGTTAGTCTAAAAACTAACTAACTAACTTCATAAAATTCTCTTCTAAGCTGAGAGAACGTGCATAGAAAAATTCATCCTGAAAGGAATTTGTTTTGAGAACCCTCTGAGCAAGTGCGAGGGGGCCTTGGAGTGGAAGCTGGAGCTCAGTGATAGTGGGTGCTATGGTAGGGGTATAACTGAGACCCATTTTGTTTCATGTGAACAGCACCTTGAAATGACAGCAACCACTTTGCCCTTGGTGCCGCTGCAGTTTGGTCCAGAATACACACACACGTGTTGTCAGACGCCACCAGTGTGGTGCTCTGCTCTGTCCAATGCTGATAGCAGTCGGCTGCGTGCGTGTGTTCCCTCTGTGTGCTGCCCTGGCTCTGCGCAGATCGCTGACACAGCAGACCCCGAGAGAACCCCCAATGACCACAGACTCCGATAAGGTACGAAGGCACCCGGCCAGGTTTACGGTCAAACGAAACACAGTCTTCTAGCTCCCCGCATCAGATGTCTACAGTTCTGCTAGTCCATATGTGCTCTCTGACAATGGACGCAGCTCAGTCAGTGGCGGGACACTCCACTGCCCCCTAGGCTGGACAGACACACCGCCCCAGAGATGCATTCTTATACACAAGTACAAACAAGTTACACAGCGCTCCTGATGTACTGCGGTGCAGCCCCTCTACATAGCAAGTTTCAGAGTAACAGCCGTGTTAGTCTGTATTCGCAAAAAGAAAAGGAGGACTTGTGGCACCTTAGAGACTAACCAATTTATTTGAGCATGAGCTTTCGTGAGCTACAGCTCACGCCATCCGATGAAGTAAGCTGTAGCTCACGAAAGCTCATGCTCAAATAAAATGGTTAGTCTCTAAGGTGCCACAAGTCCTCCTTTTCTTTCTACGTAGCAAGGCGCCGCCTCTCCCCTTGTACATGTTTGTTCAAACAAAACAACGCCATCCACCATACTGCCCTTTGCTCCTGTCTTTAGGATGGGTCCGCCTGTTCCTTGTTATGTGTGCGGAATGTGCAAGTTTCAGGGTGTTCTGGTATCTCGAGTGTCCAGTACCTTTTAGGGATGTAAAAAGAACAGGAGGACTTGTGGCACCTTAGAGACTAACCAATTTATTTGAGCATGAGCTTTCGTGAGCTACAGCTCACTTCATCGGATGCTTATGTTCAAATAAATTGGTTAGTCTCTAAGGTGCCACAAGTCCTCCTTTTCTTTTTGCGGATACAGACTAACACGGCTGCTACTCTGAAACCTGTCATACTTTAGGGATGTGTATTTTTGCAACATCAGCCCTTTCCTTGCCAGCATCTGTGAGCAGGGCCTGCCTCTGGCTCGCAGCTTAACTTTGCTTTATGTCAGCCAAGTCTTGACCATTACTTTAGCTCAGGCCTTAGGCCTCATACCAGGCCTCTGATACAAGGGTTTATGTTTCAGGGCCTCATCTTACTACAGCATGTACACACACTCACGAGGAAACATCTCTTTTGTTCTTTGTTGCTTTTCTTAATCTAAAAGCAAAGTCATTTCAGGTGGCTGGAACTTGCTCTTTGTGCGTGGACACACAACAGCTCCCAGCACCGGCTCTCATGTATATAAACCTGCGGGACAGGAACAAGTGTCTACTGCTTGGCAAAAATGCTGACCACGCAGGCACCTGGTATAACCTCAGAGGTAGCAATCCTACAAGGAAGTAATGAGGATCGCCAGGCAGGTGATTCATACTAGATCCCTTCACTTTTCAAGTTGCGGAACCCAAACTAGGGGACACTGGATCTTAGGTCCTTCCAAAATAAAAGAATAATAATCAATGAGCCAGCTACAGCTTGGTCTTTTAGCTCAAGTGGTAGAGGTTCATGCTTTCAGCTCTGAAGTTCTGGGTTCAAATGCCATTGCACATGGCTGGTTATCAAGGTACTTGAACCTGTGACTTACAATCGCAATGTACCCTGTGGGGGGGAGGGAATCTGGTGTTCTAAACAGCCATTTAGCACAATTGCAGGTTGTCCAAAGCTGACAAAAAAGCAGAGCCACACTCAGCACCTGCTAAGATCTATTCAGAGGCATGCCATTTTGTTCCTCTTGACAGCCCAGTCCTTGCGATGCTACACCTGCAAAGAACCGACGGATCTTTCTGCGTGCACCACAGTCAGCAACTGCTCTAAGAACGACACTGCATGCAAGACAACTTTGCATTCTGTAGACTCGGGTAAGTCTCAGCCAATCACTGCAAATAAACAAGGCAAAGGAAATGCATCTCGGTTATAACTTCTCACGCACCCTCTTCCCTTTTTTCCTTCCCCAGCCAGTGTGAGATTGTCCCCTACACTGTCTCTGAGGAACCCAAATGGAGAAGTCCAAATCCAAATTTACAGAAGAAGGAGAATAGTCTATTTAACTCTACCCTAGTGGTAAATCACCAGGATCTGGGCTCTCTCTGCTTACTTTGCTTCATCTATGCTTCATTCCTGCTTTGAGCAGGGGGTTGGACTAGATGACCTCCTGAGGTCCCTTCCAACTCTGCTATTCTATGATTCTATGTATCAGGCAATCTTACCTCTCTAACTTGTGGGGACCTGGACTCCCTTTGTTCACTTTGCTTCACAGAAGCTTTGGCCGGCGCTGGTTGTTTACAAAGGAGAACAACAACATGCCAGTGCTAATTTTACAGGAGCATCTTCTGCACACTCTGAACTGACCGTCTGCACTGTGTGATTATCGGAGAAACTACTGTACTGCTCATATGGCTGTGCCCCGTCATAAGATGCAGTGACTTTACCCTTAATTTACACTGGCATCCATTCAGAATCAGGCCCCTGGAGAGGACGGGAATACCAGCTGGTGCCTGGGTCTGAATTCCATGCAACTTTGGCACCGGGACTGTGTCTTCACATGCACGTACACAGCACCTGGCACACTGTGGGTACCACTGGATTACAGATACTAACTAAAGCCAATGAGCTTTTTGCTCACCTGCACTCAGGCTCCTTTGGATATAGTTTGCTTACCCTTCTAAGGCCCCTTTCTACTTCCAAGACAGTGTAAAGTAGCCTTAGCATAAAGGAGAACCAGGCCCTAAATCTATAAACCTCCCTTCACCATTTCTCTCTCCCGTTGTTTTCCTAATCTATCCATTACAGGTTACCCCTTTTTCAGGAACATCACCGTCTCCAAATCCTGCGCTGAAACGTGCATGCATTCCGACCCGGATGGAATTGGGGAGTCCCACCCCATCTCGTGCTGTTACAGCGACCTGTGCAATGCCGGGGGAGTGCCAGGGCTGAGAGCCAGTGCCGTGGTGATCACAGCTGCCACTCTCTGGACCCTCCTGAGTGTCATGCTGTAATATAGCAGGGTCTCAGAGAGAAATCCTCCTGGCCACGCTGCCCAATGCGTGGCACTGTTAGACGCTTGAGGAAGATATTTCTTCAGTTAACTGTGGCCTCTTCAATCGATGCCGGGAATTTAATGGACCTTTGGAGATCAAACCCACCCAGCTTTGAAACCCTGGGCAGCGCTCTGCTCCCAGCTGCTAATCAAGGGGACACGTTTCTTCAGCATTGACTACATCCTGCCGCTGCAGCCCTCCAGGGATGGGGATGTGGAAGAGACATAGCCGTTCTGCATAGCAGGAAGGGTCGGATGACAGGGACTGTGTGGGGGTGGGCACTGTTCTGTACTGGGGGGAGGTGGAGGAGCAAGACAGAGCCATGGCAGGCAGGTCAAAGAACTACAGAAACTCACCAGCCAATCCATCCAAGTAGGGCCATGCAGGGCTGGTGTCAGGGGAAAATGCAGGGTGCCCCCCAATTCTCACCTAAAGCCTGTTTTCTTGTGCAGGGGATCCAGCATTTAACCCCAATCATGCCACATTTGATTTCTTCTTAGCAGCTCCCAAGCACTGCAGTCCCCCATCTTTCTGTACGATAAATAGCTTAACATAGTGATTCCCTGTTCTGAATGTATCCGATAAAGTGAGCTGCAGTTCACGAAAGCTTATGCGCAAATAAATTTGTTAGTCTCTAAGGTGCCACAAGTCCTTCTTTTCTTGTTCTCTGGGGATGTCAATTTCCACCTCCCATTTTCTCAGCGTGCTTGAACCCCAAGAGGTCGGTTTTCAAATGCTGCTTAGAACAATGAGCGAAACGAGTTTGAGGGCTCATCTGAGAGTTTCTCTAGGTTGCAAATCCCGCTGCACAGTTCAAGAGAGAGGCCCAGAGTTGGAAGGGCAGGAGGGTTGTGCACATCAGAAATGCAGGTCCAGCTAGTACGGAACCTGCCTGCCCTTTGCCAGACGTGAACTAGTAGTCTCAGTTCTTTACTTTCAATTGCACTAAAACCCAGACAAGTTCCCAGTTGGCTTCAGACACCTGCCTCCGGGCCCCCCTGTTTCCCCCCCCAAAAAAAAACATAAAAGGGAAATATATTACTGGGCCAGATCCAGTCTTCATGGAGCACGTCCTCTGCTGAGGATCTGACCCAGCTGAGGATCCTCCCCCCCCCCCCCGCCGCCCCCGACCCTTGAGAATGTTTTCAAGGCACATTTGTCCCACCTCTGCAGTAAAACTAGATCCAGCGTAACCGGATCCAGTTCAGAAATGGCTTGCCAGGGATTCCTAGCTCTGTCCCATCTAGGAGGGAGAATTTGGACTTTGCACCACTCTCATTCCCATGACAAAGACTTTGGCATGTGAGCCGCCCGGCTGAAATCAACAGGATGACTCACGTAAATGAGGGAAGGAGATCTGGGCAGCAGGCCCTGAATTCCAGTTATAAATGTTTCACTTTGACCAGCCTTTCCTCTGTGTCACCTTCCCATCCGGGGTAAGGTCCAGCGTCACTCCCATGAACTCTGGCACATGGAAACTGATCAGAAACCTGATGGGCAAGATGTCTGCTCTGTCCTCTGCTGCACGCTGCCTCTAGCTGGTCCTTGCACTGGGCCTGTATGTTTGGAGTCCCACAAGGGGGCACAGCACGAGCTTGTGGCAAGGGCAGAGGACCTGCCCTCTCATCATGGCTCTGCCACTGACTCCGTGTGCGACCCTGTTCAAGTCATGGGGTCATTGCTCCATGCCTCAGTTTTCCCAGCTGTAACACGGACACAGCTTCGCTGGCACAGCTTTGTAAAGTGCTTTGAGATCTAGGGGTGAAAAATGCTGATTCCCACCATTAGAGGGGGCACGCTGCCTCGGGCAGAGAAAGGTCTCCTCCTCCAGTTACTGCTTCCCCTCCATTTCAGACTGGTAAACCCCCTTCCTGCCCATACCTCAGAGAGTCTGAACTCTAAACGCCAGAGCAGACCAACCTCACCATTATCCTTTTTAAAAGAAGGTCCCGATTCCCCCTTCCCATTCTACACTGTAAAGACTGGAGTTCAACATTTTCTCTCTGGTCTTTGGATGCAGATCCCAAGCCAGAAGTGGCGACATGAGCTGAGCTGAATTCTCCACGTTGTATTGTCTGAACATGTCAAATTATTTGCCGTGGTCTGTACAAGGGGGAAGCTGGCAGGGGCCCTGAACTCCCAGTGGGGTTCTTCTTCAGGCTGGCAGGTCTGCGGAAGGATCCAACAAGCAAAGTCACGTTCAACAGCTCTGCAATCTCTTCCTGTACAATTCCAAACCATTGCCCAGGGACCAGCTGCCCCCCTCCAATGGGGAACAACAATCTGACCATAGGGAACTAAAATTTGATAATGGGCATTTCAATCTAGCAGACAAAAATCGAACAAGATCCAATGGCTGGGAGTTGAAGCTAGACAAATTCAGACTTGGCAATAAGGTGCAAATTTTTAACAGGGAGGGTAATTACAGAGGCGAATTGGAACAATTTACCAAGAGTCGTGCTTGATTCTGAATCATTGGCAATTTTTCAATCAAGATTGGATTATTTTTTTTTCTGAAAAATCTGCTTTAGTTCAAACATTCAGGGAAGTCCTATGGCCTGTGTTAGGCAGGAAGTCTGTTGTAATCAACGGGCCTACAAATTCACCCTGATTGTGAGCTCTGCTGTAAAAAGTAAGTGAAAGTTTCTAAGATGTCACAACAACAACAAATGTTGCTGAGAAAAGGCACAAAAAGACTGCATTCGTCCAAACAAAAAGGCCGACCAATAGAACGCCATGTTTCTTCTTGTTTCTATCCTTCTCTTTTTTCCCATCTGTATAATAAAAGTCTAGTTTAGCTAGCCAAGATGACATATTTTGCAGCACTTCTGTAAGCCTGTGACCAGAAAGAAGCGACTAAAAGCACTGCGCTAAACAGCCCAATGCTGGCATGAGTTTGCCAGGCCTCAGAGCAGCTGATCAGCCCCTGTGCTGCTGGCCTCTTTGTCAGCTCTGAGGTTGCATGTGAGAGTTACCACCAGAGACAGAGGCTACAGTGTCTCTCTTTGGCACCTTAAAGACTAACAGATTTATTTGAGCATAAGCTTTCGTGGGTAAAAACCCCACCCCAGCTTACCCACGAAAGCTTATGCTCAAATAAATCTGTTAGTCTTTAAGGTGCCACCGGACTCCTTGTTGTTTTTGTGGATACAGACTAACACGGCTACCCCCTGATAAATGTCTCTCTTTGCTGTTCTTTTCTCTGCCCTTTTGCGTGTTTGTCTTGTTTTGTCTTCTAGGAAATGAGACTGGATTTTAACAGCTCCCAGCCCATCACTTTTCCCCCAAAAGCATGTCTTGAATAGCATCTAAAAGACTGTCAGACAAGGGGTGGGTTCCTTCTAAAAACTCTCTCCCGCTAAAGGAAAAAGTTAATGTAAGGATGTAGTTAAAAGCCTGACTTATGCTCAAGCGCTTTCCATGTCAAATGCTTGAACTTTTTCCTTCTTTTCTGTATCTTTAATAAAAAGGTTAAACAAAAATTCAGTGGTGGGTTTGCCATGGTACTAAGCAAGCTGAGGTCTCTGTGTACCAAACCCCAAACCTTGTTGAATACGGTTGGGTTGTGTTAAGACCTTTTTGGCCCAAACATTCCATCTGAACGAATACAGCAGATCAGACTCCATCCCAGGGCTCTCTTCTGGCTTCATAATCTCAGCCAGCCCATCTGCAGAGGGAGCCTGGCTCAAGAAGCTCAAGTCAGGGGGCAAGCCCTGGAAAGGTGACTTGGTCTAAGGCTCTGTCTACACTTGCAGAGCTTTTGCGCTGTCAGTTTCACCAGCGATAGGGAACCGGTGAAAGTAAAGCGCTGGTTTGGGTACTCACTTACTTCCTACATTTGCAGCATTTCCATCCCGGATGCTCTAGGGCAGCTATCCCACAGTGCAGCTCTCTCCATTTTGAGGATGGCTTTGTGGGGAAGAGGGAGAGGGGGGGTGTTTGTGGGGCAGCCTGCCTCCCTGCACAGCCTCCTCTCTCCAAACACTGATCAGCCCCAGGAGCTCAGCACTGCTCCAGCTGAGGACTGGGGAGGGAGCCAGGGTTGCAATCACCAGAGAGAAGCGGGGGTAAGGGGGGTGCCAAGGCTGCACACATTGGGGCGGGGGGGGGTGGCAGGAAAGCAGCGCTGCAAGAAGTCCGACCGCCAGGGCGGGGACAGCGGGGCTTGCGATAGTCCTCGTGGACCGAGGAGCTCGGGCTGCCGGCAGCAGCCGGGGGGGAAGGCAGCGGGCGGGGAGAGACGCCTGCTCCAGTGCGGGGCCATCTCGCTGGCCGGTGCAGCCGAAGGCGCCGCGCCCCCGGCTCCGCAGGCAAAGGGGCGGTGCAAGGGGGCGGACTGAACGGGGCCTTGCGGCGCAGGACCGGGAGGAAGCAGCCGCTGCCGGGTCCCGCCCCTTCCCGGCATCCCTGGACGCTGCCGGCAGGCGGGAGGCTGCGGCGCCCGGGCATCCCTCCTCCCTTCCCTGCGGCGATGCTGCTGGTGCTGCTGGGCGCGGGGGCCGCGCTGTTCGGCCTGCTGGACGCCTGGTACCTGCTGCGCCTGCCGCTGGCCGTGCTGCGCGCCCGGTGGCTGCATCCCCGGCTGCGGGACGTGCTGCAGGAGCAGAGCTGGCCGGGCCTGGTGCTGCCCTCGGACCTGGACTGCCTGCTGCACATGAACAACGCCCGCTACCTGCGCGAGGCCGACCTGGCGCGCTGCGCCCACCTGGCGCGCTGCGGCATCTTCAGCGCCCTGCGCGCCCTGGGGGGCAGCCTCGCGCTGGCCGCCTCCTGCGCCCGCCACCGCCGCCCGCTGCGCCTCTTCGAGCGCTTCGCCGTGCGCACCCGCCTGCTGGGCTGGGACGCCCGCGCCTTCTACCTGGAGCAGCGGTTCCTGAGCCCCCGCGACGGCTTCGTCTGCGCCCTGCTGCTCTGCCGCCTGCACGTGGCCGGCAGCAGCCCCGGGCGCCTGGTGCAGCACCTGTACCAGAGACAGGTGAGGCCGGGCGGGGGGGCCGCGCCTGGCCCGTCCATGGCAGGGGCTGTGCGCGCAGGAGCATCCTCGGTGCGGCCCTGGTGAAGCGGGCACCAGGGCGGCACAACCGCCCGGCAAGGACGCTGGCAAGAGAGCAGCTGTGGCCCGGGATTGGTATGAGCAGGAGCAGGGCCAGCAGGTGGAGGGAAGCGATCATTCCCCTCTATTCGGCACTGGCGAGGCCACACCTGGAATATTGCATCCAGATTAGGTCCCCCCACTACGGAAGGGATGTGGACAAATTGGAGAGAGTCCAGCGGAGGGCAACGCAAATGATTAGGGGTCTGGAGCACATGGCTTACGAGGAGAGGCTGAGGGAACTGGGCTTATTTAGTCTGCAGAAGAGAAGAGTGAGGGGGATTTGATAGCAGCCTTCACCTTCCTGAAGGGGGGTTCCAAAGAGGATGGAGCTCGGCTGTTCTCAGTGGTAACAGATGACAGAACAAGAAGCAATGGTCTCAAGTTGCAGTGGGGGAGGTCTAAGTTGGATATTAGGAAACACTATTTCACTAGGAGGGTGGTGAAGCACTGGAATGGGTTCCCTAGGGAGGTGGTGGAATCTCCATCCTTGGAGGTTTTTAAGGCCTGGCTTGACAAAGCCCTGGCTGGGATGATTTAGTTGGGGTTGGTTTTGCTTTGAGCAGGGGGTTGGACTAGATGACCCCCTGAGGTCCCTTCCAACCCTGATATTCTATGATTCTATTCTAAGAAGAGGCGGGCACAGGGACGCAGCAGGGAAAAGCCCCTTCTGCCCCAGGGGCACCTGTTCCACACATTCCCCCCCGCAGCAAACACCCACCTCTCCCCGTTCCCCCGGAATAGAGCACTGACTATGGGAAAGGGAAATATTTAGTTACAGAGGGACGGCTGGAGAGAAACAGCCAGGGTGCAGCCTGCACATGGCCCTCCAGGCCCAGCGGTACCACAGTCTGACAGGGCAGACACTGAGCAATGCGTCTACACACAGTTCTGGAGTCCTGGGCAGGGCTCCACTCTGGCGCTGAGTCTTGGTGCTCCTGGCCCTTTTCGATGCCCATGGACTTCCCACAACAAACCCCTCTGGCACCCCCTTCGGCCTCTCTCTGCAAACCCACACAGGGCCCCCACTGCCCCACTTAGCCAGCCACAGCCTCCCTCCTTATTCCCAATGCAAGGTCACAAGCCCCAGACAGCTCTGGGCAACAGTGATACTGGGTCCAGCTCCAGTTTGGTCTTCTCAGGTGATTCCTCCCTGGTGAGGGACTCCTCCTGGTTCCTGCTGCTCTGTCCCTCCCAGGCTTCAGGCTGGTTTTCGGCTGCTTCACTACTTAAGGGACTGTTCGCTGTAGCCCTCATGTTTGGAGCTACAATCGCACACACCCTGTCCTCTTGCTCTCGACACCCCTGGAACAGCCAGCCCTTCCCCTGCCTCAGGACAAGGTTTTAAACGGGCCATGCTCTCCAAACCCCAAGGGGGTTACATTATTTATTATTTGCAGTGCAGTGGCACCGAGGACTCCTAGTTGTCTACCAGGACCTCTTGCGTGAGGCGCTGCACAACCAGACAAAAGAGCAGCCCCAGCTGCAACAAGTCTGCAATCCACTCATAGCCTGGCCCGTTCATTCAGAAAAACCTGTTAAAAATAATCCTCCCCTGTAGAAATAATGCCCATGGTTTGTAGCCCTTGTGCATGTTGCTTCTGCAGGATGTTGCCTGCCAGTCCCCGGTAGCACTGCTGCATTATCAGTTGGAACCTCCTTCCTTGGGTTTTATTATTCTGAGCAATGATCATTTGTTATCTGAGATTGATTATAGTCTGGTAGGTGCTCATGGTGCTTTAGAGACCCAGGGCCATGCCTCAGAGGGCATGCAGTTTAAAGGTCCCATCCTGCCAAGCTGTTATTCAGATGAGCAGGTGTGTCCAGCTGCTCTCCAGTCAGTGTGTGTGGTGTGAAGCCTGTTACCTTGAGACTAGCTTAGTTTCTTGCATGCGTACAGGTTGGATACACAATGCGCCTTCCAGTGTGACCGATTAGTAGCCTTTTTGCACTTGCTTTGCACGATAGTAAATGACAAATCAGGGCGCATGGCAATAGAGAACCAGGCCTTTCTTGGGTGTGGACTCCTAGCATAGACATATTACACAGTGTAAATCGTGATTTGCAAAAGCCACCGTCAACATTAGGGGTTTGCATCCGCGCAGCTACACAGTGTGAGGAAGACTCCCAGGCCACTTATGTTGTAGCTGTGAACCAAATCTGTTCCCTTGGCAGTACTTCTGTGAGTAAGGATTTTGACACAAGATCAGCAGGTACTTTGGCCTTTGAGCACCAGAGCAAGAACATTTCTTCTTCCAGGACAATGCAGGACCATTGCTCTGATCCAGCGTGGAGGTTCCTGTCTAGTTTCTGACAAAGCTCAGGACCGGTGCTTCAGAGGAAGGTGCAAGCCTTCCTTGCAGCAGGGAGTTACGAAATAACTTATCCCCAGGAAAGCCTTCTTCTAATCACCAGTAGGTAGAAGTTGGCTTATATCCCTGCCAAAGAACTGCTAGGATTTAAAAAATATTTACTGTTATAATGCTGCATTTTCTCATCGGTTAGCTCTCTTTGAAATCTTGCTAATGATATGTTGTGGCAATGAGTTCCACAGGCTGATTTGGTGGTGTCTGAAATTGTCTAGCTCCCTAGTGAAGACCTTAAACATTCCCTGGGCACTTCTCCGCTCCCAGTGGCCTGGGCCTGTTTCAGTCTGTCATTCCAAGCACCACCACGGGTTTCCATCGCTCCGGAAAGACTGAACTGCTTTAGAAAGGCAATGGGAGAAGTTGTCCTGTATCTGTGGGGGAAATTGCCTGATTTTCTGCACCAATCTCTTTACACTCTCCACTTCCTTGGAGGGGGTGCCCCCAGTTTTCGCCTTGTTGCCCTCTGTGAGGAGCTGTCGTGCTAACCCCACCCCTTGCCCTTGGGGAGCACGCAATGCTGAAGCAGAAGCTTACCAAATACAGGCTTGGCAACCGTAGCAGAGAGGGGGAAAGCTTGGGGGTGCAGAACTTTTTGTTCCGTTTAGTTTTTTCAATCTGACAACATTCCTGTTAAAGAAAAATTAAATTTCACCCTTACAGAAAATTGTAGAGGTTTAGAGCAGGGATTCTCAAACGGGGGATCGTGACCCCCTCAGGGGGGTCACAAGGTTATTCCATGGGGGGTCACAAGCTGTCAGCTTCCACTCCCAAACCCCGCTTTGCCTCCAGCATTTATAATAGTGTTAAATACCAAAAAAAAGTGTTTTTAATTTAAAAGGGGGATTGCACTCCTAGGTTTGCTGTGTGAAGGGGGTCACCAATACAAAAATTTGAGAAACACTGGTTTAGAGAATGCTAATCTTTCCTTAAAAATTTAAATCAGTCTATAGAATTCTATAGCAAGGGTATGAATCCCTATAAAATTCTGTAAGCCAGTTTCACAATGTTAATAGGCTACAGTTCTCCATAAAATCCTGTTGTTTTTTATGTGAATTTCTGTATAAGCTTATTCAGTTTCTGTAAAATTGTATTGGTTTAATCCCTGTTCAATTGCAAAGGACTTTTCTATACGAGAAATGTTTCAGTTATTGCCTTTTTTGTACTTTTAAAGGTAGATGAATGGGATTTATTAGTAATGGGTTAATAGAAAAATGGCATAAGGTTAGTATCACTCTGCTAGTGAGAGAAACATTGCTTTATAATGACGGGCCAGATCTGCAGCTGGTGTAAATGAGCTTAGCTGCATTGAAGTCAGGGGAGCTACATCAGTATCCACCAGCTGAAGGTGATGTTGAGAGCTCTGTGTGGCGCCGACAGAAACAACAGGACAAAATTGCCAAGCGTGGGTGCCCCAACTCAGACCCTAGAATCTGAATTCAGCCCCTTGAACAGAAGTGAGCTGACTCTCCGCGGCGCTGGGTTTTTGCTGCTCCCCCCCTGACATCAGTGGGAGCTGTCTGAGCTCAGCATCTCTGCAAACCGGGCCCCTTCTACTTAGGTGCCTGCTGAACTCACTCCTGTCTTTGGCACTGTGCCCAGAATGGACTATTGCAATAGGTGTGGCAGGCGGCCATGTGGTAACTGCAGCTGGGTTTCTTGAGGCCCAGCAGTCGATGTAGGCTAAGAAGGGATTCCGGAGAAGCTCACAGCCCGTGGAGCTGTGTAACACAGAGAGCACAGCCGTATGTTGTAACTAGTGCTGCGATCACTGGTAAGGAGAGGAAAGCAGACCTCGCTTGGGAGCTGGAAAGTTAAGAAACACGAGCAGCAAGTAGAAAATCGGTAAGATTTTCAGCCCTGGAGCGTTCTTTTTTTAAAGAACTTATTTCAGTCTTACAGTGCGCTCCATGGTTTAATCCGAGTGGTCTTGATATACTTAGTCCTGCCATGAGTGCAGGGGACTGGACTGGATGACCTCTCGCGGTGCCTTTCAGTCCTACCATTCTATGATACCCAAAATCTTGTGGGAAACATAATGGACAGAAAGGGGAGGAGTGCATGTTGCTGAACTGAGGGTGATTTGGAGATCAACTGAGTTATTTTGTATGTGACACTGGCAGGGAATCTGTAAAACCTGGACCCTGAACCAATCTATCCTGCCTCTCTTTCCTCCAGGTGGACTCCCCAGAACTTCCAGAGGAGGTGCAGCATTGGATCAGCTACAACGAAGCCAGCAGCCAAAAGCTAAGAGCTGAAAGCGGCCTGGGAATCAATACCAAGGATGAGTAACCAGATGTTGTTTTCCCCCACCTGTCCTTCTCCAGACTGCAATAGACCTGTGCTTCAAACAGACCCAAGTCCTGTACTCACTGCAGGTGCTCTTTCTCATCAGCTTCCCTGCTTATGCCGCTGCGGATAAGAGACTGATCCAGATTGCCATCAGCTTCCTAGACAAACAAGCCAAATGGCTGGCTAGGAAAGGACCCCCGGAAACCCTATTAAGTTGGTGAAAGCCCTCTCTGATCTCAGTTGGTACAGTGAGCTCGGTGGTGGCTGGGTAGCACCTAGAGCCCCAGGACAGTGGGGAGTGGCACCTTTTGGTCTTTAGAAGGGAGTTTTCACTCAAAAACGTTATTTCCAGAGGCTGGTAACGTCAGGAAAACAAAACTTTGGTGCAGCCCAACCTGCAGGGGATCTGGGGCATCAGCACATCTAACATCCTCCCCCGCAGGAATTTGAAACAGCCACCCCCACTGGCTGATGTGCTGATGCCTCCACTGTACCCACAGTCCTTTGCAGTAGCCCTGCCTCCACACGCCTTCAGTCACTAACACTGCCAGCAGAGGGAGCCCAGGACCTGCTCAGTAACAGGCTCCGTGAATGAAAAACCTGCTGATGTATTGCAAAAGATAAAGGTACCCCATGGTATGCCAGGCTTATGCCCAATAGCACTATTTAGAAAACCCTGACCCCAGCCGCATTCATTTATTAACAACCCTATCCTAGGATTTGTCTGTAGGGAAATACATCAGTGCCGTGGGGGGGGAGGCTAACGTGGTGTTTGCAAGTAAATAAGGCTTCACCACATACATATGTTGTCTCCGTCTTTAGACAGAATGAATGTGATCACCAGGGTTATTCCAAGCGTATTTCGGAGCAGTAGGTTAGGACTAGGAGCCTCCTGCGTTCCCATCATGGCTGTACCACTGAATTACTATGTGACTGAGGTCACACAATCTCTCTGTGTCCTGAATTACTCAGCTGTGAAATGGAGATGCTACCTACCTACCTCCCAGGGGTGGGTGTGAGAACTACCGTAATTCACTGATGTTTCTGAAGTGCTTTGAAGAGGAAAAGTGCAGCGCATGTGCTAAAGTATCCCCTGGCCCTGCTTTTCTTATCTCTGTAGCTGCAAAATCTCTGTAGCTGCAAATGGGTTGTGCCTCTTCTTGAAATCCTGATCTACACAAAGTCCTAGGAGTGCTGGTTCAAGGTGTTAGCTAAGAGCTTTCCTAATGCCTTCTAAAAGGTCGTAGTGTAGACAAAGCGGTGTATACGGCACATGGTAATATCTACACTAGACTATTAGAACATGTCATAATGTCTTAGCTAACAACACACCGTGAAATCCTAGTTGAGGTGAAGCCTTTGAGTTTCTGCACTTGGGAAAATTGGGACTGTAACACTCCACTGGTAGTGTAGTTGTAAACAGGATTCAGAGCAGGGTTAGAGGATGCTGGGGTAAAAACATGGGAGCCCATTCAGTGCTACAATCTCCCTTCATTGGTACGAACCATTGGAGCGGCAGGAAAAACACAAATGGCCCCAGCGTAGACATGACCCAGGTGTTGCAACCTGCTTTAGAGCAGGACTCAGGGAATTCAGGTCCCCTTTGCCCATGTAAGCAAACAGGGCAATTTCCTTTCTGATTGTTGGATATTTGATTCTATTTATATTTAGAACAGTTCTTGTTATGTACTTTGTAAATGGAAGATTGCTGTATATTACGCTAACGTTTTCCTCTTATGAGCACTTTACACCAGAACTGTATTGAGGGAACATGCTTGGAAGTGTGGCTAACCTGTGAATTTGTGCATGTGTTCTGTAATCTAAATACCACCGCTTCCTGCGGTGGTCTGAACCCAGACAGTGAGATAGCTGTGAATTGCCTCTGAATATATATTTGCCTCTTCTAATGGTTTTCTTGGCTCGCAACTATTACTTACTGGAACTGCTTAGCCACACTATCTTATATTTACTTGAAGACATCAAAGGATTCTAAATGAGATGAAATCCCGAGAGCAACGTTTATTCCTTTAAAAAACAATGGATCCATTTGCACCGCAATCTAGCGAAGCTGTCAGGCATATGCTTAACTTTAAGTAGGTGGAGGCTACTCAGTGTCCTTAAAATTAAGCATATGCTTAAGTACTTGGCTAGAACAAGGCTTTGGGCTATAAACATTAACCAGACACTGTCAGATGGTGGAAAGAGAGAGAGAGAGAGAGAATCATAGAAGTGTAGGACTGAAAGGGACCTCAGTAGGTCATCTAGTCCAGTCCTCTGCACACAAAGCAGGACTAAGTAATAACTAACCCATCCCTGGCAGGTGTTTGTCTGAGCTGCTCTTGATAACTTCCAGTGATGGAGATCCCACCCGCTCCCTAGAGTTGGAGGAACTCCACCAGGCAGTGAAACAACCAATCCAGCCAAGACAACTGGTGGCCGCAGCAGACTAAATCTCACCGAGTCTTTCCTGCAGTTGCACCTGATGGTTTCACCTTTTAAATACAAAAAACCAAAACCCTAAGCCAGTCCCTTGCCAGCAGGGAAGTAAGAGAGGGGAGATGCTGCTGTTGTGACTGTGGGGGTGTTACACTGTGGTGGCAGATGCCCATCTTGGAACGTACTCGGGTAGGCGAGAGCTCACCTTTGGGCTTGATCTAGCAAGTTGTTGGGAACTCTGGCCCCGGTTCTTCAAAACACTTAAGCACATGCTTAGCTCGAGGCACGTGAGTGTCCCCATTGAATTGTGTGAGAGGGACAGAGCACAGAATGCCAGCTCCCTACTTCCGATGGGGCCCAATTTGAGAATGTACCTCTGCCTGTCCCCACTCTGCCATGAGCCTGTCCCTGAAACCAAGGACTGCACCAGGGCCTGTTAGCAGCGCAGCTAACAACTTCATAGCTCGCTGACAGCTCTGACAGCCTGAAGTATTCAGCATCATGAGTCAGGCCCCAAAGAGTGATGAGGGTGCATAAAAATAATGAAATTTACAAGAAAATACCTTTTAGGTTCTTTAAAATGACCTTGGGGGTTCTGAATTTTAAGGATGCCCTTGGTTCCCTTTTTCGGGCTTTCCTTTACAATCATACGAGTGAGAAACCTTTTTTTTTTTAATGAAATCTGAGATTCACATGTCCTGAGCTGACCCAGAGAGCTGAGCCTTTCCGCCTGAGACCCGATACTGCAAGGCTTGCGATAAAGTATCAAGACTTGGCAATGCTGCATGTTTAACCAACTGTCCTTTTAATCCACCCAGCCTCACTCTGTGACCCGTTGTCATATACGAAGTTGTCCTACACAGTGGAATTACCACCAATCCCTTATTATTAATCACTCTCTGAAAGTCCCTTGTGTCGCACTGATGTCATTCAGAAAGTCACGTGCCTCCCTGCAGCAACACATATGGGAACGGCCTGTGAATGCCAGTGATAACTGAACCTGATGATACTGGGAACAAAAAGAGCTCTCCATCATGTGTGGCAAAGCATCTTTTCTGCCACATAGAATCATAGAATATCAGGGTTGGAAGGGACCTCAGGAGGTCATCTAGTCCAACCCCCTGCTCAAAAGCAGGACCAATCCCCAATTAAATCATCCCAGCCAGGGCTTTGTCAAGCCTGACCTTAAAAACTACTAAGGAAGGAGATTCCACCACCTCCCTAGGTAACGCATTCCAGTGTTTCACCACCCTCCTAGTGAAAAAGTTTTTCCTAATATCCAACCTAAACCTCCCCCACTGCAACTTGAGACCATTACTCCTTGTCCTGTCCTCTTCCACCACTGAGAATAGTCTAGAACCATCCTCTCTGGAACCACCTCTCAGGTAGCTGAAAGCAGCTATCAAATCCCCCCTCATTCTTCTCTTCTGCAAACTAAACAATCCCAGTTCCCTCAGCCTCTCCTCATAAGTCATGTGTTCCAGACCCCTAATCATTTTTGTTGCCCTTCGCTGGACTCTTTCCAATTTATCCACATCCTTCTTGTAGTGTGGGGCCCAAAACTGGACACAGTACTCCAGATGAGGCCTCACCAATGTCGAATAGAGGGGGACGATCACGTCCCTTGATCTGCTCGCTATGCCCCTACTTATACATCCCAAAATGCCATTGGCCTTCTTGGCAACAAGGGCACACTGCTGACTCATATCCAGCTTCTCGTCCACTGTCACCCCTAGGTCCTTTTCCGCAGAACTGCTGCCGAGCCATTCGGTCCCTAGTCTGTAGCGGTGCATTGGGTTCTTCCGTCCTAAGTGCAGGACCTTCACTTATCCTTATTGAACCTCATCAGATTTCTTTTGGCCCAATCCTCCAATTTGTCTAGGTCCCTCTGTATCCTATCCCTGCCCTCCAGCGTATCTACCACTCCTCCCAGTTTAGTATCATCCGCAAATTTGCTGAGAGTGCAATCCACACCATCCTCCAGATCATTTATGAAAATATTGAACAAAACCGGCCCCAGGACCGACCCCTGGGGCACTCCACTTGACACCGGCTGCCAACTAGACATGGAGCCATTGATCACTACCCGTTGAGCCCGACAATCTAGCCAACTTTCTACCCACCTTATAGTGCATTCATCCAGCCCATACTTCTTTAACTTGCTGACAAGAATATTGTGGGAGACCGTGTCAAAAGCTTTGCTAAAGTCAAGAAACACATCAGCTTCTGCCTTCCTCCTGCTTTTGGGACCACGGGGGGCAGGAGTAACCCAGTCCTACTCTGGAAGTTTTTAGTTCTTATCTTTGGTTTATTTTCAACATTGACAAGGCAATCCTGAGTTGATCTCTTACTGAAGAAAACCCACAATGCACAATAAATATATTTCCTTGTGCCCACCAGAACGTTGGTGCTGGGTTCTGGTCCCCAGCTGTTCCCCAAACAGAAGTAAATTTGGTGTTTCCCCAAGAGGGAGGGGAACATCCCTCTACCTTGGAGAAACCTTTTCTCACTGCTGCAACTTATTTCTTCTACCTCCTCTTGCTCTCTCAGCAGAAGAGGGGTTTTGAAATGTCACTGGCAACCCCTTAACTGGAGTCAGGTGTCTCTAATTAAGGTGAGGTAACCTCTTTTCAGTTCATAGTAAAAAGGGCCTTCACCATACTAGCACTGATATACCTGTCTTCCTCCACTCTTATCCTGTCAGGTCTGATTTTGTCTCACGTGCTTGTAGCTGTTCTTGCCGCTTCACACTGACTCAACAGACATTCTAAGCTTCAGCATGACACGACAATCCCAGCATCGTATTATGGAAATTATTGTTGCTTAGTTTATGCAAGCAAAAAATAAAGACTTCCCACGTGCTAGACACAATATTCATTTCTCTCCACTATTCACAGAAGCACTAGAATATTATGCATCTCTCAAGTATATGAGGGCTATTCTACACCACCCATTGCATCCACTGCTGCTTTACATGCTGCTAAAATGGCTTAGGCCATTCTTTCCCTCTCCCACACTTGGCCCTAGAGTTGTCAAGTTTTGTGCACCAACATGTGTAATATTTTTCACTAGGGAGAGCGAGTCCCTGATCTTTCAGTCAGGGTGCCCCGAGCAGTGAGCCAGGTTTGGGGGAGGCAGGAACCTATCCCTCACACCCCAAGCAGATGGGGAAGGAGCCAGTTGGGTGGGGTGTATGGTGAGCCCTGGGAGCTAGTAGGAAGCAGAGTATTGGATGAAGTAAGGGTACCTAGGATCGGTGTGTGATAAGCCCCTCGAGCACAGTCCTTACTAGCAGAGATTCACTCCTCCTTACAAGATATATCTACCCCTTCTCTGTTTGGCTCCTGGCCAGTCCCACTCCCCAGCAGTACGTGATTGAGGTTTTGTTTATGGTGAACCTTCACACAGGGCATATTAAGTACCGTTCTGTTGCCCATTAGTCCCATAATAAGGATAATAACAGTATTATTTTATTTACAGCATTATCATTACTCCTACCTCCTAAACTTAAATGAATTTTAACCAAAATGTTCACCGGGCATAGTGGATGTCAGCCATGCAAATAAAGGCTGGCTCATTGTGTCTTTTCCTGCATTTCACCAGTGGATGGCAACAAAGAGCTCCTTCCCCTATGATCTTCAGACCCAGAAGTTTCCAGCTCCCTGTATTGACACAGCCCCAGATTTGGCTTTTATATCTGGGGAGGGGAAATGACCCACTTCACCTTAAGTGAAAAGAATCCTGGGAAATATAGTTCAGTAACTGGGTGCACACAATTGTTTGTCTATAATTGGCTGAACTGCAGATTGTAATTATGTGGGGGTTTGCTTGTATTAGAACTGCATGACAAGATGCTGGGTTCTGTTTGCATCTCCCCATAACAATGGGGGTAGCTTTGGCGCAGAGACAGACTTGTTTGTTCTAACCTCTTAGGTGAAGGGATATGTGTAAACTCCTCCCTGCTGCCTCTAAAGGGCTGTGTTAGCAGCCAGAGAGAACCTCCTTGATTGCAATTCATGGCCTGTCTCTAATAAGCAACCTGAAAGGTAACATTATACTCAGTTACCACGGTAATGGTAATTGAGTATAACTGAGTAACAGATTATTGAAAAGCCAGCTGGTTGGGTGATTTAGGCCCCTGGGAGATCATCAGCTCCAGACTTTGGCAACGTTGATTGCTAGGTGTTTGTATTTTTCTAATCTTTTCAGGCACGTCTACACGGCTTTTCGGATCTAGCAGGAGCGAGCCTCCAGCTCAGGTCGGCAGACTAGAGGGGCTCTCGCCAATAGCTGCGTAGACAGTGTTTTGAAGGTGCAGCTCAGGCTCTGAAACCCACCCCTTCCCTAGGCTTCAGAGCATGAACTTTCCAGCCCAAGACGGAACTGCAGAGCACCATCTATACAGCTATTCTTAGACCTCTGGTGAGAGCCCTGCTAGCTCACGTCTATGGATCCAGGCTGGCTCCAAAATGCTGTGTACATTTACCCCTCTACTTTCAATGCTAAGTTAGAAACACACTTTTTTTTTTTAATTTATTAACCATACATGTGCAATATTACAGTTACAGGAAGGATGGTCTGGTGCTTCAGCCCCCTTGACTTGGAGTCGGGAGAGCTGGGTTCAATGCCCAGCTATGCTGCAGATTTTATGTATGATCTTGGGCAAGTTATTTAACACTGCTCTGTGCCTCAGTTTCCCCTCTGTAAAATGAGGATTATAGCACTTCCCTGCTTCCCAGGTGGGTGGTGAAGCTAAATTCATGAATGGCAGTGAAGCCATTTCAGCTGCCTGGATGAAAGTCACTGTGGAGGTGCAAATAATTACTTATTATCCTAGATATGATTTGTAAAAACAACACTTTGCATCCCTCTAGCAACTTTCATCTTAAGATTTCAAAGCGCTTTACAGACACCAACTAAGTTAGCCTGATGACCCATGCTGACAAAGTACATCAGTGATGTTTTCCCCATTTTACAGATAGAGAAGCAGAGGCAGAGGGAGGTGACATGACCCCGCCAAGCACTTTAGGGTCTGAACTAAGGATAGAATGCAGTTCTCCTACCTGCATTAATAACCAGGCAGTCCTTCCTGCTGCTGTATTAATATAGCTAACACGTGACTTTTGTGACCAATTGTATAACAGAAATAACAGTGAATTGTCTAAAGAGAGAGACAAGGTGGGTAAGGTGATACCTTTTATTGGACCACATTCTGCTGATGAGCGAGACCAGCTTTCGAGCTTACACAGGCCTCTTCTTCTGGGGATTGTTATAGGTTAGATTGTTATGCACAAGGGGTTTGAAAAGAGCAATTAAGGGTAGCAGGCAGTGCTGTACTACCAATTGTTTAATGAGACATAAAACCAGTGTGTGAGTTCATTTGAGAGTGTGGTGATTGTCTGATTTCACCCATATAATTGTTACTGGGGCATTTGATGCACTGGTTGAGGTATACCATGGGACGCTGGTAAAGCAGGTGCCCACTCTTGCCAAGTCTTTAGGCATCAGCTGAGCACCGATACATTCATAGCTGGAAACCAGACCAGCTCACCTGGTGTTCGTATCGTTCAGGATAGGGGGTGGACTTTGTACGGATGTGTTTAGTGTTTAGACTAGGAATTGCTTGTAAATTGCTGCATGCTTTAATCTCACTTGTAATGTCAGTATTCTATGCTACATGGTAAAATATATGTTTGTTTTATAGTTATAAAAATGCCTGCTCTGAACTTGTGAACTCAAGACGGGAAGCCTCTGTCCTTCCATCAGGGCTATCAAAATTAAGTGGGCCATTGTAGGATAAAAGTTTTGTCAATTGCCCCAGCTACCCATGGAGAAGTAGGTGCAGAAGGCCTTTTCCCATCGGTTTGAATGCTGGACAAAGGAAATAAAGATATTTGACATGAAGATTTTTCATCTCCGCTGTTTAGACTCTTACAAGGGCTGGAGCTAAGAAACAAAAAGCAAAAATCTCTAGTGTTGACCTAGATTACCTTTTGGCTGTGCAAATAAAAACCTGAGCGTCAAGAAGATCAGAGCAAAGATACCTCCCTGGGTGCTGGCAGGACAATAGGATGGGTTTCAGAGTAGCAGCCGTGTTAGTCTGTATTCGCAAAAAGAAAAGGAGGACTTGTGGCACCTGAGAGACTAACCAATTTTACTTCATCGATGCAGTGAGCTGTAGCTCACGAAAGCTTATGCTCAAATAAATTGGTTAGTCTCTCAGGTGCCACAAGTCCTCCTTTTCTTTTTTGACAATAGGATGGTACGTCATAATGGCTCCACTTGAGGGAAGCCTTCCCAACATGTAGGTGACCAGATGTCCCTATTTTATGGGGACAGTCCCGATTTTGGGGCCTTTTCTTATATAGGCACCTATTGCCCCCTAGCCCCTGTCCCAATTTTTCACATTTGCCCTCTGGTCACCCTACCAACATGCAACTTCTTCCTTGGAAGCTGAGCTGCCCAAGGCATCGCTCAGCCATTTCTACTTAGCCTTCATAGTGTGATTCCCAGCACAGAAATTACCCTGGACACCTGCTTGCTTTCTCTTCAGAGACGGAGGCCTTGTCTGCTCTAGCAAGGTGTACACACTGCCACACCACTAGGACAGAAACTGCACACTTACAGCGCTCTAAGAAAACCACCCCTCGAGCTTTCTGCCCCGGGGCTACAGCGCTGCGGTGACAGTGTGGACACCCTGGTCGATGACAGTGCTGCAATTGGCCTCCGGAAGGTGTCCCACAATGCCTGTTCTCGCCTCTCTGGTCGTCAGTTTGAACTCTACTGCCCTGCCTTCAGGTGACCCACCGTGAGCCCCGCCCCTTAAATTCCTTGGGAATTTTGAAAGTCCCCTTCCTGTTTGCTCGGTGACGCGTGCAGAGGTCTCAGCGCATCTTTCCAGGTGGCCAGGCCGGCTCCACGCACCAGGCAATCCCCCGCTTGGAGCAATGCCGAGCTGCTGGACCTCATCAGCGTCTGGGGAGAGGAGGCCGTGCAGTCCCAGCTGCGCTCCAGCCGTAGGAATTATGATACCTACGGACGGATTTCACAGTGCATGACAGAAAGGGGCCGTGACCGGGACACACGGCAGTGCAGGGTCAAAGTGAAGGAGCTGCGGAGCGCCCACCACAAGGCGCGGGAGGCAAATCGCCGCTCCGGTGCTACGCCCACGAGCTGCCGGTTCTACAAAGAGCTGGACACGATACTCGGCGGCGACCCCACCTCCACTGTGAAGGCCACTGTGGATACTTTGGTGGTTCGCGTGCCAGTCGAGAGCGGACCGAGCCAGGAGGAGGAAGTCTTGGACGAGGCTGTGGAGGGGGAGGGGGACCCAGAGGCAGAGGACGACTCGGAGGTCAGAGATGCATGCAGCCAGGAGCTCTTCTCTACCCAGGAGGAGGCTAGCCAGGCACAGCTGTTGGAGCTTGGCGAAGCACAAACAGGGGAGGAGACCCCTGGTAAGTGGCTTTGATTTTGGGAATCCCTGAAACGAGTTTTTGGGGGCAGGAAGGTTGCAGAAAGCAGGCTTGTGTCTGTATGATGCACGTACCACCACATGCCTAGTCTGAGTGACAGAACAGGGTGTTGATTGACTCCCTCACTTCACGAGAATCTGCCTCAGAGATCTCCAGGAAACTCTCATGGAGATACTGGGCAATCCGCTGCCGCAGGCTCTTTGGAAGAGCTGCTTTGTTTCTTGCCCCATGAAGGGTAACTTTCCCGTGCCACTCTGCCATCACGGGGAGGCAGCGGGACCAATGCTGCACACAGGCGAGCCACAAAAGGGCCAGGGCAGAAGCCGCAGTCTTGGAGAAGACCCTCCCTTGATTCCCTGCTCACCCTCAGCAGTGAGATATCTTCCATAATGAACATAGCCTGTGGAAAATGTGGGGACAGTAATGCTTATCAAGCCCCCCCTACAGTACTGGCTCTCCCCAAGAGCCACATGCCCAGTGTCCAGTATGGTCCTGGAACACTGATTTCCCCTGCCCCTGCGGTTACTCACCATTTTGTGGGTCTTGTGGCTCATGTGTGCTTGCCTGAGGTCAGCCAGTTAGTGACAGGTGTGTGAATAGTGGCTGTGTTTTAAACCACTGAGTCAGTGGTCCGTGTGTTGGAAACAATACTGCTTCTGTAAAATGTTGCATTTTGGCTCCACAGAGATGACCTTGGGAGCCCAGCCTCCCTCTTTGTTATCGGCAGCTGAACGGCTGCACAGAATAAGAAAGTGGCCACGAAGAACTAAAGAGGACTTTCTGTGTGATGTCACGATGCACTTTGCCGCCAAAAACAAGAATTGGAGGAGTGGCGGGACAGCGAGAAGAGGGACCGAAAGGAGAACACGGCGCGCCAGAATGAAGCCACGGAGCGGCTCTTAAACGTTACAGAGCGCCAAGCGGACACGCTCCAGCAAACCGAGCAGCTCCGCGCCCCCCCTCCCCTGCAGCCGCTGTTGCAAAACTCTTTCCCATGCGCCCCCCTCCATCTCCCCCCCCCCACACACACACACACAGCGCCAACACACTCTGGTCTGTACCTGCAGCCTTCCACTCCTGCCCCGACACAATCCAGCCCTGCGGACTCCCAGTACCCACTGCACTCAACACCCGTCCCTCTGCAGTTTAGCCCTGCTGAAGTACCGTACCCACTGCATTGTACTCCAGAGGACAAGGCTGCATATGATTCCTGGACATACACAAATCTTTAACGGTCCCGGGACCCCACCTCCTCCTGGGACCCTCCCTTCCCCCATCCCCCGCAGTGGTGATGTGATTTTTTGTTTGTCTGTCTCCTCCTGTTGTTGTTTTTTAATAAAAGAATTGTTTTGGGTTGAAAGAAATCTTTATTCCATTAATTGAAAGCAAACAGAGCCCTGCAAAACAACAGGCAATTGTCTTAAACCTTCACAGTGCATTGTCTGCACCAATCACAATCACCTCCTAGCATGACAAGCACTGCATTCCTGAGCATAGCAACACATATTAGTGGCTTTCAGCTTCATATTGTTGCCTCAAAACATCCCTGATCCTTATGGCCCCATGCTGCACCCCTCTAATAGCCCTGGTCTCTGGCTCTTCAAATTCAGCCTCCAGGTGCTGAGCGTCTGTGGTCCAGCCCTGCATGAAGCTTTTACCCTTCCCTTCACAAATATTATGGAGTGTACAGCACACAGCTATAAGCATAGGAATATTGTCATTGGCCAGGTCCAGCCTCCCATATAGGCAGTGCCAGCGGGTCTTTAAACGGACAAAAGCACACTCAACAGTCGTTCTGCACTTGCTCAGCCTGTTGTCAAACCGCTCCTTGCTGCTATCAAGGTGCCCTGTGTATGGCTTCATGAGCCACGGCATTAAGGGGTAGGTGGGGTCTCCCAAGATCACAATGGGCATTTTGACTTCCCCTACGGTGATCTTCTGGTCCGGGAAGAAAGTCCCGGCTTGCAGCTTCCTGAACAGGCCAGTGTCCCGAAAGATGCATGTGTCATGCACCTTTCCAGACCAGCCTGCCTTAATGTCTGAAACACCCACGGTGATCCACATGTGCCTGGAGAACCACAGAGAAATACTCTTTCAAATTAATGTCCTCGGTGGCTAGGTGGTCTGGTGCCAGAATTGGAATATGCATGCCATCTATCGCCCATCTGCAGTTAGGGAAGCCCATTTGTGCAAAGCCACCCACAATCTCATGCACGTTGCTCAGAGTCACGGTCTTTCGGAGCAGGATGCGATTAATGGCCCTGCACACTTCCATCAACACGAGTCCAGTGGTCGACTTTCCCACTCTTTACTGGTTAGCAACTGATCGGTAGCTCTCTGGAGTAGCCAGCTTCCACGGTGCAATTGCCACGTGCTTCTCCAGCGGCAAGGCAGCTCTCATTCTCGTGTCCTTGTGCCGCAGGGCTGGGCCGAGCTCATCACACAGTCCCATGAATGTGGCTTTCCTCATCCAGAGTTCATCCCTCCTCTCATATGGGCTCCAGCATAACAGAACATAAGAATGGCCGTGGCTTTCAACCTTTCCAGACTACTGTCCCCCTTTCAGGAGTCTGACTTGTCATGCGTACCCCCAAGTTTCATCTCACGTAAAAACTACTTGCTTACAAAACCAGACATAAAAATACAGAATTGTCACAGCCCACTAGTACTGAACAATTGCTTCCTTTCTCCTTTTTACCATATAATTATAAATCAGTTGGAATGTAAATATTGTACTTACATTTCAGTGTATAGTACATAGACCAGTGTAAACAAGTCATTGTCTGTATGAAATTTTAATTTTTACTGACTTTGCCTGTTGTAAAACTAGGCAAATATCTTGATGAGTTGATGCACGCCATGGAAGACCTCTGAGTGCCCCCAGGGGTATACGCGCTCCTGGTTGAGAACCACTGCTCTAAACCATCTCCAATTTGTCAACATCCTTCTTGAACTGTGGACACCAGAACTGGACACAGGAGTCCAGCAGTGGTCTCACCAGTGCAAAACACAGAGGTAAAATAAACTCTTACTCCTACTCAGTATTTCCCAAGGATTGCAATAGCCCTTTTGGCCACAACGTTGCACTCAGAGCTCATCTTCCATTGATTACCCACCAGGAGCCCCCAAGTCGTTTTCAGAATTGCTGTTCCCCAGGATAGAGACACCCCGTTATATTCTCAGATACTATAGTGATGGTTGTGATAGAAGAAACTAGATATAGCCTATCTACCTACCTCTAGCTCCTTTGATTCTGAGATAATTGACTTCCCTGTGGACTTTTTTGATGGCATCATTATAACTTCATCTCCTAGATTTAAAGCTTTGGGTTTTTATCCTGTCTTACAAAACCCAACACCACCATAGCCTCAGGAACTCACCCTATCGATGCCTATGACTGTGGTGATGTTCTTAAATGAACTCAGTGAAATGACCTTATAAAATGATAATCCAGCTCCTGAAGTATTTGCTTTTTAAATTCTATAATTTACAGTCAATTTACAATGTTCCAGGGTGTGTCTGTCTTGTGTAACAACCACTGCAGGGTAAAGACAAATTAACATGATGCCAATCATCCATCCCAGGAAGAGATACCGCTGTGCTTTGAAAAATAGTGAGGGCAGGTGTGGAGAAGCTGTCTTTAAGTAACGTGAATGTGTATTTAGCTAAGGTGTCATAAAAGAAAGTAATGAAATACCCCTGCATGCAAGCACACACACACACACACCCCTTCACCTTGTTCTTGTGAGCCTATAGAATTTGTTGTGGTGTAGCATTTAACCTGGTTGCAAGCATCTACGAAAGACGACAACATGGCTGAAGGCCTGAGGAGACTTGGGTTCTAGACCTGCCTCTGCTACTGACCAGCTGTGTGACCTTAGGCTAGTGCGTGTACCTCAGTTTCTCCAACTGTATCTTGGGGAGATCAGCAATTACTCTGCCTTAGGAAGGCCCTTGAGATCTGTGGCTGAAGAGAGCTAAGTATTACGATGTTGTGAAAAATAAAGCTGGGGGTAGAGTTGCCAACCTTCCAGGATTGTCCTGGAGTCTCCAGGAATTAAAGATTAATCTTCAATTAAAGATTATGTCAGGTGATGAAACCTCCAGGAATAAGTCAGACCAAAATTGGCAACCCTAGGGCGGGGCATTAATGGGGCAGTGATTGTGAGCAGGCCTGATGCCTTTACCTTGACTCAGTGTGAATAATCATTAAGGCTACGATTTGGTCACAGCAGTCATGGATTCCGTGACTTTACTGGACCTCCGTAACTTCTTCGGCTTCAGCTGCCAGTGGCTGAAGCTGGGGCTGGAGACGGGACTGGGCGCCCCCGCCCTGCAGCTGGGGCTGGAACCAGGACTGGGCGCCCCTGCCCCGCAGCTTGCAGTGGGGGCTGGAGCTGGGGCCACATGCACCTGTCCTGCCGCCGGGGCTGCAGCGGGGACCATGTTCCCCCCTCATGGCTTCCCAGGGCCATGCATCCCCATCCCGCTGCAGCCGGGGCTGTGCACCTGTGGCTGGGGTTGGAGCCGGGACTGTGTGCCCCTGCCCCGCAGCTGTATCCAGCTCTGGAGCGGGGGCTGTGTGCCCCCCACGGTGGGTGGGGGGGCTTGGCCTGTCAGTCCCCACCACACACAGGACTTCAGCTGTCATTCCTCCCCCCTCACCTAGCCCTGCCTCCTGGTTGTTTTTAGTAAAGTCACAGACAGGTCACGGGCTCCTGTGAATTTTTATTTATTGCCCATGATCTGTCCGTGACTTTTACTAAAAATAACCGTGACCAAATCTTAGCCTGAATAATCACAACTGGGAGCCATTGTGTCTTGAGCGAAACACCCCGAGCTCTCAGTGAGTCTTGTTAACGCTGGCTCTTGCGGATAACCTGGGATCTAGAGGCAAACTCACTGACTAACTTTCGACCTTTGCCATCTATTCTCTTCAGGTTCTTCCACTGCATCCACCCCCTTGGTACCTGAGCACCTGCCCTTTAGGTTGTATTTTGCAAGGAAAAGAGCTAAGAACTTTTGCTTTAATGAAAGACAAGTTTAGCCCTATCTCAGCCAAGTCCCCAGAGCAGTCAGCCCCAAATTTGCTTTGCAGACTGAAAAATCCAAGCTCTATCAATCCCTTCCTGCATCATTTCTGCTCCCCTTTGCCTGAATTCCCCCTTAGCTCCTGGATCCCTTGCATTTGTATTACGACCCTGCCTGCACTATTGGTTCCAGTTTTAGCTTTGAAAATTTCCATGAGATCCCTTCTGAGTCTCCAGTTGTGCAACCACAAAGACATTACCCCTTCGCTGTGATCTTCCGGCTTGATACAATCTTTGCTGCCCCTTGCTCCATTCTCTGCCAGGCTGTAATTTCCCTGTGGCCTGGCGATGGGGATTGCCCAGGGAATTCTAGCTTGAGGGAGAAGGGGCACCTGAGGCAGTAACAGTGTCACCTCTGTCATCTGAAGGGCTCGATTTGCACGAGGAGGGGCATGCTGGCATGTAGAATATGCTCAGTGCAGAGTGCAATAGGGACACACCCATGCAGACTCTCAGAGCATCCTCTGCCGTGATGTCCGAGCCATGTCTGGGCCTGGGTGATTACTCGTGTCCAACAGCTTTGGGGTTTTAAAAAAGGGGGGAAAATAATAAAATCTAAACCAAGAACCAGACCCCAGAGGCTCCAATAAGTCCATTAGGAATGTCCCCATTGCTACTGATTTTACCCAGAAGGTGCTCATGTACTCCAGTGAAAGACAGAAGTCACACAGCTTCAGATACAACAAGCGGTGGGTGTTCTGGAGACATGTCAAAGTACAGAAACAGCAAGCACCAGACAGAATACAGCGCTGCTGTATAGAATTGCTCCTATACCTGTTACGGAGAGGCAGCAGGGTGTAGTGGTTAGAGCCGGGGTGGGGTTCAGCTTCAAGAGGCCTGGGTTCTATTCCTGACTGTTAGTGACCTTGGGCAAGTTGCTGTATGCCTCAGTTTGCCCATCTCTAAAACGGTGGATGATAACCCCACCTTTATCAACAGCATTGAGATCACAAAATGGACTTAGCCGGGAGATATATTAATGCTGCAAAGTAATAGGATGAGATTTGCATGTAAACCTGTTGCATGAGCTGTGGCATGCAAGTGGAAAGTTAAGTGTGCAAAAGAGCACATGCAGAGAACTGTCACTTGCACTGGCTGCTGCAGGTGCATTTCTGAACATAATTCTTTTTTTTTCTGTACTGTTTTGCAGACCTGACCCCTTAACTGAGCATTTCACCTGCACACCTCAGAAAAGGAGGTCTATTTGGTATATCTCATTTTAAATTGATATTTCCCAAAGTGTGGGGAAGAAATTGAAGCTCTTGCCAAGGGTGCAGTATGGAGAGACCTCTCTATTGTTTTCCAGAGTCAGTTTTCATTTTAGTAAAAAAATTAGCCTCTAGCTCTTATGACTGTGAAAAAAACCTTCAAAATGTGACACAAGTTTAACTGACGCAGCAACATCTGCCTGAGTTTGCAGAGTGCCTGAAACAAGAGCTCCGAGGTGTGAACTACTCCATTGCTTTCGATGGGTGCGATTAAATGCCAGAGATGCTATTTTAACTCCCAATTTTATTAATTCTTTCACTGCTCATCAAAGTGGGTAAGAAAAGAGAGGAAGAATGAGATTATGAAGATCTACACCAGTATTTCCCAAACTTGGGGATGAAGGAGCAGAGAAGATGTAGAAATGTTAAGAAAAATTAAGAAATGTTGACCTTTTTTCAGGGGGACAAATTTGGTTTTATTTTCCTGAAGGGGACTCAGCTTTTAATAGTTTCAGAAATGCTGCCTAAAATTATCATGTTTCACAAGCTTATAAGTAGAAGTGGACAGGAAATGGTTTTCCCATCATGTGAAATTTTTCAAGGTATCAAAAAAACTTCCTGTCCTGCATCAGGAAGGAATGTCAAAAATCTCAAAAAATGTCATGTATCAAAAATCTGAAAAAGTTTTTGTTTTGAGTCAATCAAAATGTTTTGTGTCGATAATTTCAAAACATTTCATTTTGATCGCAACCATTTTTTTCTTTGAGTCTAAATTTATTAAAATAGCTAAACAAAAATTAGCTTTGTCTCAACGAACCCAGAATTTCTAGTTCTATAATGTCAAAAGAGGATGTTTTTACAATTTCAAAACGTTTTTTCCAAAATTGTTGGAAATTTTGTTCCCATTTTGTGAACAGTTTCAATTTCAACAAATCGGCATTTGGGGAGTGAAAAAAGTTTGTCAAAAAATTCCCAACCGGCTCTTCTCACAAGTGATCTTTTGAACAGCAACACCTGACTCAGAGGACAAATCCTGCTGCTGTTTCAAACTCTTGTGAACATAAGAACGGCCACACTGGGTCAGACCAGTGGTCCATCTAGCCCAGTATCCTGTCTTCTGACAAAAAGAAAAGGAGGACTTGTGGCACCTTAGAGACTAACCAATTTATTTGAGCATGAGCTTTCGTGAGCTACAGCTCACTTCATCAGATGTATACCGTGGAATTCCACGGTATACATCTGATGAAGTGAGCTGTAGCTCACGAAAGCTCATGCTCAAATAAATTGGTTAGTCTCTAAGGTGCCACAAGTCCTCCTTTTCTTTTTGCGAATACAGACTAACACGGCTGTTCCTCTGAAACCTGTCTTCTGACAGTGGCCAATGCCAGGGGCTTCAGAGGGAATGAACAGAACAGGGAATCACCTAATGATCCATCCCCTGTCGCCCATTCCCAGCTTCTGGCAAACAGAAGCTAGAGACACCCAGAGCATGGGGCTGCATCCCTGACCATCCTGGCTAATAGCCATTGCTGGACCTATTCTCCATTAATTTATCTAGTTCTTTTTTGAACCCACTTATACTTTTGGCGTTCACAACATCCCCTGGCAACGAGTTCCACAGTTGACTGTGTTGTGTGAAGTACTTCCTTTGCTTTGTTTTAAACCTGCTGACTATTAATTTCATTGGGCGACCCCTGGTTCTTGTGCTAGGTGAAAGAGTAAATAACACGTCCTTAGACTTTCTCCACACCAGTCAAGGTTTTATAGACCTCTATTATGACCCCTTTTCGTCATCTCTTTTCCAAGCTGAAAAGTCCCAGACTTCTGCCTCTCAGGTTACCCTACCAAGGCTGTCTCTTGATACTGCTGTCTCTCCCCTACCCATGTCTTACACATGATCCACACATGGAAGTTCTCCTGCACTAGAAAGCTGAAAGGACAGCAACATTGAAGTTAGACAAACTGGAAGCATGCCCCGGGAGCTCCTTGTACCTTACACTAGGACTCACGAGGGAGACACATGACAACTGAGCAATGAGTGCCCCCCTCTGCGTGGTGTTTCTCAATCTCTGAAGCTTCCTCTCATTTCCTGGCTGGATCTGTCCATTCTCACAGTCAGTCTGGCCTGTTTCCATCCCTTCTGCCCAACTCTCCTATTATTTACTGAATCTTTTCTGGGAGTGCAGCCCCCTCCCCGAGGATGATAATATTAATTTACTATTGTCATTCCTCTAGGGGCTCTCATTATAGATCTGGACCCCACTGTGCTAGGTGCTGTACAATTTATAGGTGCCATCCTTCCCAGGGCAGCATTCACCAGGGGGGAAATTCACCCCATGCAGAGAGGCCCGAACAATGTCTAACCACCACTCGAGTCCCCCATAGACTTCAATAGAACTCAAGTGGCCCCTAGCCCTTGAGCACACTCACTGCACGGGAAAGATGACAACAATTCCCTTAACTGGAGGGAATATCTCTGGAGTGAAAGGGGAGTGCACCGACCAACCCACGAGTGTCTCTTCAGGGCACTGCCACTGTTTCATGAGTTAATGCAATCCATTGCCAGGCAGCTTTATTTTGAAGCCCATCATTCATGCCTGCTCTTTCCTCGCCAGGTACTAAGGAATTAAATAACTGTTCCCAATAAATGGGGGAGGGAGGAGAGGCCAGGGAAAGGGACCTTGACATTAACACGGAGAGTGGAGGAGATGGAGAGATGGTAGGAAGCTATTGGAGAAGGCATCAGCTGCAGGGGGAGAAGGCTCTCATCCCACCAGCGCTGTTGAGATGATGTGAAAGGACGGAAGAGGTCAGAGCTAAGGAACTGGGAGAGAGCGGAGAGGGAGATAAAGAAAGACAGACAACAATGGCAGGGATTCCCAAACCAGAGTCTGAAATAAAGCCCTGATTCAGCAAAGCATGTAACCCCATTGCTTACGCCCCCCAAAGTCTTACCGCATGCCCTGCAGAGTGTGCAGCTTAGAACTGAGCCTAAACTCACTTCACTTGTTGCTCAAATAGCATTTCAAGCCAGAACTGAAGTTCAAAAAAAGAATCCTCGAGTAGATTTCAGCAGAGAAAAGTTGAACTATAAATAACTTTAATTATTACGGTTGATTAAGCAATTAATTCCTGCTCATTATTATTCCTCTTAAACTGGAACACAAAAGAATAGAAGAATTTTACATACTTCGATCGGATCATTGGCACATCAAGTCCAGACTCCTGCCTTGTGCTTCAGAGCTAGGTCAAAGATCCCTTACTCATCAGGCACTGAGAATGGAATTTACTCTGTGTAAAGGTCCAGCACCAAAGTTATGGTGTCTAGGGGTTGCCCTGTCTCACTGAATTTCACCCCAAACTGGTCATTTAGCAATGATGTCTGTAGAACAGGGTCTAGTGAAATAGACATTTGCTAGGGGTGTTGGTCACAACGGTCATGCACTTAATTTATGCACTTAATTCAAATCGTTAGGTCTTGAGTAACTGGGTGTGCTGTGGAATTTTCCACAACTAATTGACACAACAAAGACATTCCAGTACAGATTAGCATTTAATTTAATTTAGCAAGGAGCCAGTAGAGAGATTGTCCAACTGGGCATTCCTGAGCCAGGTCCCTTTATCGGCAGGGACAGGAATGCAGAGATAACATCTTTCCAAGAGGCCACTGTGTCTAAGAAAGCAAAGAAGCATCTTCCTAAAAGTGTCCAAGACCACCCATTGGGAATGCAGATGGCAAGTGCAGCCAAGAGGGGCTTGATTCTTGTTGGGTGGTTCTTTGGGAGTAAAGGCTTCACCTGCCTGGCTCCTCACAGCCCAGTCCTGAGGAGGATGCAGAGAAAACTGGCTGAAATCCCCATCGCCACGTAGCTGATTTGTATGCTGACCGCCCCATCCTGGTTGCACAAATCAGAGTTACAGCAGAAGGTGGGGCGAGAACTCCCGATCTCATCCACGTCGGATGGGATGCATTTCTGAGCGCACGACTTGACGACAGTTGAGTCGCCCACGAAGGGGTAAACTACAACATTTCAAAGCAAGAGAGAAGAAAAGGGTATTAAAAGGAGGATTTGGGCGTGGGGTGTCTCCAGCCCTGCAGGGAGCACTGAACGTCTGTCCCACTGGATTCCAGCTCCAATTCCAAAAAGCTTCAGGGATTGAACCAGCTGGGAACTAAACCACCAAACCTTTTGCTGATCTCCTATGTAGAGAATCCCATACATACATTCCTTGGTGTCTATCTCTGTCTCTTTGGGTGCTGACCCATCTCTGTGTCCTTTCTGCGTGTCTCCCTCTGGCTTGGTGAACATACAGGCAGTTCTGCTTGGAAGCTAAGCAGGGCAGGCACATGCCCCCGGCTTTACCTAAACCTGGGTGCATTGTGTGTCATCTGTCTCCCTGCAGACACGACATCCCATCTCTAATCACTGCTCATCCTAGGTTCAGCTGGTACCCCTATCCAGAGGATTCACGTGAAGAGACAGTGCCCCATCTCCTCTCTCTGGAAAAGCGTCTCTTTACTTGGCAAAGCTCAGCTATTGGCCAATGCAGGCCTCGTCCTGAGAGGTGCAGAGAACGCTCTGAAGTCAAGGGATCCAGTTTAGGCTCCTAGGAGCCCAGTGATTCAGGCACCCACCAGGGAGGTGGGGGACGTAGACCCCAGTCCGCTAGCTCCCATCACTCTTTTGTTATTTATCCACAACAGGAGAGACTGACGCTGCCCCCATCGGGATGCCCCAGAGCTCAGGGGTTAGATCATCATCTGAGAGGTGGGAGACCTTTCTTCCCCGGTGGCAGGGAGGGGAAATGAACCTTCTAACCTCCTGCTGCTTTGTGTGACACACGGCAGGCACCTAACCCATTCCTGCAAGAAACACTTTACATGCCTAAGCTGCGGTTGGTTCCCCTTTGCAAATCACTAGCAGAGAGAGGTGCCTCCCTGCACCTATTGCCAAGAGGGGCGGGACTTAGCAACCCCCCCTTTCATCTGCCTCTCCCATTGGCTAGAGGTGTGTCCCTGCCTAGCGTGCCGGCTTTTGTGAATTGCAGTCTAAGGCCCCCGTCTCTCCCCCTTCATTGTACAGGAGCCTAGGTCCCTAACTCAGGCTTTGTGGATCCCAGGGCTGTTCCTGTGCTTTGCCAGGGCCCTAAAAGTTACTCGCCGTGACGCTGAGCATAGTGACACCTAAGTCCCTTTTTGGATCTGGACCTAAGTGACTCGCCCAACGTGAGTCCCAAGTACCCGTGTTGCAGCCTGGGTCCATCGCTAGGAATCACAGGGGAACTCTGATCCCCTGCAGTTCTAACCCTGGGGTTGGGGCTGGATGGACGTTCCTCCCTTCCTTAAATTTGAACGCAGGCTTCTCCCTCCGGGAGTCTCTTCCTTACCTTCCTCTCGGGAGTACATTACTGTCTTGCACATGATGTCATCCGTGGAGCAGTTGCTGATGGTCATGCACAGGGGGGAGCTCATCGGCTCCTGGCATGTGTAACATTGCAAGGTGTGGGCTGCAAAGAGGAACAAACCAGGGTTGCCTTCATGGGGATCAAGAGGTGCTGTCTGCCCTTCCGTATCACCCCTGTTAGGCAAACCGCCACGGCACCACTCCCCTAAGGTAGTTATCAGAATGCGCTACTGGAGCACACGGCAGTTCCCTATACATCTTGTCTGATGCATGGAGGGACATGCTGCTAAATCCACATGCCATGCCTTTGGTGTAATGCCAGGCTAGTGTTAAATTGCCTCCAGGCATGTGGGTATCAGAGGTGAATCCGCTCCTTGGACAGCAGCACTTTGAAGAGGATCATCTTTCAGCTTTGTAACAATTAGCTAATAAGACCCGTCTCACAGTTATCTGAGTGGCAGAAACTTCAGCCAGCTAACCAGATCCAGCATAATAGACGGGCTGAGCTGATTGACACAGAGATCATTCCCTTGGTGGGCCGGTCACTCCTGAGGCCTGATTCTGATTTACACTAGAGTCCCTGTGCTCATCCCCTTTACATCCCCAGAGCACAGTTGCCAACTCTCAAGCGGTAAATAAGCACCCCGACTTTCACAATAAGCCAAAAATCAAGCTAATCCCATGTCAAAACAAGCCAGCCCCTAAGAACCCCAACACTCTGTGTGACTAGATACCTCTGGAGTGCAGTCTGGGACTGTGGTGGGCCCGCTGTGCACCCCTGACTCTCTCCCCGCCTTGCCGGGAGCCAATCAAGAAAAAGAAGCAACAAGTCACAAACTAGCCAACAATCAACTCAGAAGCCAATTAAGCCAAAAACAAGCCCAATTTCTGCATTTTTTTCACGGGTTTGGCATGTCTGCACCAGAATGGTGTAAAGACACCTTATAAATAGCATAAATAAGCCTTCTTGTAAGTAAGAATCAGACCCTCAGCCTATAAGCTCTTTGGGCCAGGGGCTGTTTTTATTTAGCACTTTCTCCAGTGCTAAGCACATGGTCAGCACTTACCACAGAAGAGTCCTTGGGGCAACTGGGTAGAGAGATAGAATAAGGCCCATGGGATTTGTGTGGGCATGAGGGAAGTGAGGCAGGCCCCAGGCTAGGACTGTTCTGTGCTGAGATGTTTGTTCCACATCAAAAAGTGGGTTTCACATTATTTAAAAAAATCACACATTTAAACGGGGGACAAATATTATACCATAAGCAAGTCCTTCTACCAGGAGGAAACAGCCCAAACAAGCTGCAGGTGAGCTAATTCCACCCCAAAGTAGACCCCCAAAAGATCCCTTAGAAAACTGGACCCAGCTGCTCCCTCAGGCTTTCTAATGTAGAGTTGGACACTCTGCGGTGCTTACCGCGGTCTGGCTGGTCTCTTTGAAAGTTAAATTATACAGCTCCCGTATTTAACAAAGCTCTAAACTTAGCCTTACAGTGGTAGCTCTGTCAGTGGCCTTGATTTCTACCCGATTAACTACCGGCAGAGTAAAAGTGACAGGATTTTAGTTTCTCTGAGTCAGTAATGGGGAAGTATAAAGGGATCTTCACTGCAATAAGTTTTAGACCTTGAGAGTGTGCACCGTATGTTTATATTAATGTCCTTTGGGTTCGCAAGATGTCATCAAATATTGGTGGATAAGCTAACTACTAGTTAATTATTATTGTTTTACTGGTAAAGCGGCCCTGCCTGGCCAGAAACTCAGGGTGCTGTGCAGGTTAGAGCATGGTTGGAAATGTAATGAAATAATCTTATGAAAATAGATACAGACAGATAATGTGATTGAACAGGAGAGATACTTAACCCTAACTGCATCATGAATTAGAAAACACAAAACTGTCAGGGGTAAAGGCAACAAAATTCATTATTGAACACACGGCATCAAACTGGCATGAACTCTGACAGGCTTTGCCCACCTTAACTTAGACAGTGATGGATCATCCATCACTTGTCTCTGTCTTGGGTGCTTGGGCAGCAAGATGGTTGGCATCTTAGAAAACACCTGCAACATGTATATTTTACTCACGTCAAGTAGACAAGGGCCTATACACCTAGTTATTGTGGTGTTCTCCACATTAACACAAGGCGCACTTGTGTTAAACAAATAAAAGCCTTTCTTCTTAACATATTATTCACCTAACAAAGCAAAGTCTGCTCCTAGCTACTGCATGCTGCTCTCTGCTCTGCTCTGCATTCAGATCTCAGGCAGCTCTCTGCCGGATCAGCATTCAGATCCGGCTGTGTTGTTATATGAAGGGTGGCCATTTGAACGCTCCAACACACCCAATACCCTTAGGGTAACAATAGCAGCTGGTCCCCACAGTTGTACCCCATTATCATGTCATTTCTGTAAATGATTGGCCAAAACACTGTCATCACATAAAGAAAAGGAGGACTTGTGGCACCTTAGAGACTAACCAATTTATTTGAGCATAAGCTTTCGTGAGCTACTCTGAAACCTGTCATCACATGTAAGCCCAGAGCTCACACTGACTTCAATGGAAGACATCTGCTCACATCCACAGGCAGGAATTGACATTGTTGCTGTTTTTTTTAAAGAAGTAATGGTTTGATGGATGATAGGTTGAGGATGATTTCTATAATAACTAGAACTGGGCAAATACTGCCAAAAATATTCATGAACATTCATTGGAATAAAACCCACGAATTCAGAATTCGCAACCCTTTTTCTGTTCAGATATTGTATTCTGTTTTGCTGAAGTGCTTGTTTCTGGAAAGCAAAATTATTATTGAAGTGGATCAATAATAACTGCATAGGAAAGGATGTGGCCTGAAGAAGACAAACTTGAAATCTCAGTGCGTCCCTTCCTTCTGTTGATAGAAGTTCGGGGAGCTGAGACCACACCGGAAACCCAGTGTCAATAGTGGTGAAGAGTCCATGAGCGATCAAACATGCTGCCATATGTTACGGGGCTGAAAGTAAAATTGAGCTCTTACCGGTGTGGGGCCGGCTCTCCCGCCACCCAGAAGGGGCGGGGCCTCAGACGGAAGGGGCAGGGTTGGGGGTCAGCGACCCCCCAGCCAGCCCATCTGCGCTGCCTGGCCCGGGCCCTTTTAAATCGTGGCCCTGGGACAGCTACATCCCCCCCTGCCCCCAGCCGCCGCCGAGGGGGGCAAAAGGGGCAACGATGTTAAAGCCCTGTCACGGCAGCGCTTAAAGCAGGGTCCTTTACCGCGGCACCACTTTAAAGCCGTTGCCCTTTTGCGCCTCCCCATCGGCGGCCCTGCCGGTAGGGACCTGGCAGGGCCGCCGATGTGGGGCACAGAAAGGGCAACGATGGTAAAGCAGTGTCACAGCAATGCTTTAAAGTCTGCGTTACGGGCCGGTACTGGCAGCAAACTTACTTGCACCCCTGGGAGTAAGTTCTGTAGGGCACTGCCTTTATGTTTATACAGCGCCTAGCACAATGGGGCCTTGATTCTGATTGAGTGCCACTGTAATGTAAATCATATTACTTTTGATGAAAACAATTAAATTGAATCCTGGTAATGTGCAAATAAATTTTTCACATTGAATAATTGGCTCAGCGCGATTAATAAATGTATCATGGCCTAAAATACCTAATGGCCAGTGGCCAAAGCTCATTTTGCTGGAAGCGCTCTGAGTTACTGATGTGACTCTGAAATGCCTAGGGCATAAGAATGACTGGAACATGATCAAGTTTACAGTATCTATGTAACTAAAGAGAAAGGCAGAAGCTGAGGCAGCTGTTAGTGTTATTTGTTGTTTGTATTGTGGTAGCACCAAGAGGCTCCCATTACAGACCAGGACTCCATTGTCTAGGTGCTCTACAAAGGCAGAAGACAAAGATGGTCCCTGCCCCAAGGACCTTACAATCTAAGTAAAAGACAAGAGGCAACGAGTGGATTCAGACAGCGGAAGCACCAGGAAACAGTGAGACAGTATTGGTCAGCATGACAGGTCAGCACACTAGCTGCCCAACTGTTGTCAAATTTTCTGTAGGCATCATGGCAAATCTAGTGTGTGGGCATATCAGTGCGGAGTTCTTAGGACAGTAGGAGATAAGAATATAGCCATTTGTATCCTATACTGGAATTATACTTATGTTGTTGCCTACTGTCCGTCTTCTACACTGTAAATTCTCCAAGGCAGATGCCTGAGGCTTGTCTTATAAAGCGCTGAGCAAAGAGCTGTCACTGATTTCGGTCGGAGTTCAGGACCTAAATACCTGTGAGGATCTGGGCCTAAAAGCTAATAGGGTATCTTTCCTGATAAGCCAATTCCTCCAGCCTCATAATCATTGGAGGTGCTTTTCTTTGACATACCTTCACTTTATTGACCTGTGGTTTTGAGGTGCCCAGAGCTATAAGCAGTATGAATGGGACGCGGTAGGGAGAGCCCATTTCATCTCCTTGCCCCGTGACGTATTATGATTTATTCAGTGGCGAGATAGTGGTGCTCACAGAGAGTTACGGATGCTTGCTGGTACATCGTCCCCTTGCAGAATGTTGAGCTGAGCCAAATTCAAATGGCTGAAAACTGGGAAATGCCCAGTTGATGTTGCCCATGCAGTGCTGACTCGGCCGTCTTTCAGCAGTGCCCCCGTATGTCTCATTAACACACACGTCTTTACCCTGCCAGCCTCCCAACGGGCAAAATGTACGATCTCTTCCCCTCCTGTGGCAGCCCAGTCACGCTCACCCACAGGGTGACTGTCCTGTGGACACCCACAGGAGTCCATCTAAGAACAAAAAAGGAAAACATGGGCATTTCCTGGTTTTCAGAAGTTTGAGTTTTGCTGAGCTCAGCATTCTGCAAGGGGCCAACGTACCACTCAGCAACCTTAACGTCGGTTTTTGCTTCTCAATTTCCTATATATATTTTTTTTAATCAGGAAACTATAGGTTGCTGGTAGTAGTTAGCAGTCATTTTGACAGTTGTACATATCCTGTCCTGCAATTTGCATACAGAGTCAGGCAGCCCTGTCCCTCATCAGCTGGACCCCACCAGTCCTGCTCCGGCACAGATCCCCAGCCATGCCCCAGACCCATTCACTGCACAATCCA